TTGTGATTTTTATTTTTTAGTTGCACGTGGGAAATCAGCTGAGGGATATGTTAGTTTAAAAAACAACTGGTGCATAGGTGTGCAGAGACCTATGTGTAGAGGAGTGTCCTACTTGCCATCCTTAGGACTCTTGAGAAACTCACCAAACTTGCTGCATCTGAAACTGGGTGTGGAAAGTGAAGCTGGTTGCTAAATGGGACACTGCTGTGGGCAGCCAGAGGATGCTCCATCCACCTTGGTGCCTGCCCATAAAAAGCATGCCTAGAAAGAGTAGTGTGATGTCAGCAGCAACCCTTCTATTTGTGAGACATTTAAAAATTGTTTGCGCCTTGGATAAGAGGCATAAGAACATAGGAATGGCCCATCCAGTCCAGCATCCTGTTCTCATGGTGACCAGCCAGATGCCTGTGGGAAGCCTCCAAGCAGGACGCAAGCTCCTGCGGCTTCCAGCAACTGGTATTTAGAAGCATTGCTGCCTCTGACCATCAGTAGTCTTGTCCTCCATTAATTTGCCCAATTAATGCCAACCATGTCCATGGCTAGCACTGTGTTCTGTCGGAGCAAGTTCCATAAGCCACCGTTAAGTGCTATGTGAAGAAGCACTTTCTTTTATGTGAGAGCTAGGATGGATGAGTGGTGCCCTGGGCGAGGGTCAGGAGGATAAGAGGGGAGGGTGCATCTCTATTTTTTAGTCATTTATATTAACATTTGTCTACAGTAAGCCTGCAACTGATGCACATTTAACTTATGTGCATTCAGGTTTATGCACTTGGCAAGAAAAAAAAAGTGGGTGGGAATTTGGGAAAAAAGAAAATCCTTTGGCAATCCCACCTGCCACAGCACCCAGTGTGTTTTGACTACATGTGATTTTGGCTTTAGGCATGATCTCCAGAGCATAGCCTCCACATATGTTGAGAGCTTACTGTGTATTGAACTGTATTGTTATAGCATTTTTGTTGCTTTAGTTTTCTATAAACCACTTAGTGATACTTCTGTATATCAACTGGCACCGAAATGGTCTAAATAAATAAATAATGTTTGGCTGAGTTGTGAGCTAGGTTTGTGGTGCAGTATGTAGAGAAGCAGTCACATAACCGCATTGCCATATGCTGAATTCTGCATGGCTTATTCTCTTTCCTTAACATGCAAAACTGGTTGCATAAATTGGCCCTCACCCAGGAACAATGAGATGACAGTACTGTTAAGAAATGTTTCTCTCAGTGAATATTAGTACAGTCAGCTGAATACATTATGTTGCCAATAAAACTAGTGCCTAAGGTATGGGCACAGCACACGTTTGCTCCAATGTTCTCAACCTACAACCTACAACAATTGCTGCAACTGTGTCTCTCATGGAAGCCAGCACCTTGAGAAACCATAAAGTTGATGGGTAAGTGGGTAGCTATGTGTTGCACATGGTGTGTGTTTTTCAGGGGGCACTCGGGGGTATGCAGTACTGGCACCTCTCTTTTTTCAGTTAAAAAGTGTGGCACTTACTGTAACAACTTCATGGTGAGTACCAGCACCTATTTTTCTAGAAAAAAACTCTGGTTGCACATAATGATTATCTCCTCATCATGAAACATCCTTTGTATCAGCAAATGGCATTATGTGTATGCAGGAGACCCTGACTTCAGTCTTCTCTGAGCTACTTGGTCAAATCATTATCCTGCATGGTTGCTTTGTAAGTTTTGAAATCCATATACAAATTCATGTGCAAACCACACATACATTAGGAACAAAGGAAGCATCCTTATATCAAGTCAGACTGGCGGTCCATGTAGTATTATCTCTACACTAACTGGCAGCAGCTCTCCATGTTCCACGTAGGGGGCATTCCTAGTCCTACCTGGTAATTGGACCTGGGCCTTCTGTTTGCAAAGCAAATGCTTGACCACTGAGCTACATCCCTTCCCCTATTCTAGCACATGCTACAAAACACAACCAATTAAGCCATCCCAGCTCATATACGACTAATGAGTACATGCATATGTAACCATCACAGATCAGCCTGTACATTCTGGCTATTTATCCCCAGAAAATAGGAAACAGCCTTTTACAGAATCAGACCATTAAGTTTATGTATAGTAGTACTGTCTATGCTGACCAGGCTTTTAGATGGAATATTTCCAGCCTGCTGTGGACATGTGGAGGGTTGAACCTGGGACCTTCTTTAGCGCTGAGCTATGGCGCCTGCAAAATGATTTTTCTTTTTTGTAATACAGTGGTACCTCTGGATGCGAATGGGATCCGTTCCGGAGCCCCGTTCACATCCTGAGAAGAACGCAAGCCGCGTCTGTGCACGCGCGGGTCGCAATTCGCCGCTTCTGCACGTGTGCTTGACGTCATTTTGAGTGTCTGCGCATGCGCGACGAAACCTGGAAGTAACCCATTCCGTTACTTCCGGGTCGCAACCTGAAAAGATTTAACCCGAAGCTACTTTAACCCGAGGTATGGCTGTATTTGAAGCTGTCAGATGAGATTAGAATGGTAAAATCTGATTTGGTTCACCAAACATCGCTAGTGAAATAAGTAGTAGAGGTGGCACTGAAATAATATAGCACCTACATATATAAATACATATACACGTGTGTGTGTGTGTGTGTGTGTGTGTGTGTATGTGTATTGGGATGGAGATGCTTGTTCAGTGGAAAGGAACAAGCCAGTGAAGTTCAGGTTGTCAAAGTGATACGCTAAGGACCATCAGCCCCCCGCTTTCGGAAACGGAGTCATTTGCTAAGTCGACATTACCCAAGTAGGTCAAGCTCCGAAACAGGCCTTGACTTGCTCCCTGGTCTCTGAGCACCAGTCACCTGAATGCCTGAGGCGAAAAAGGGAGCAGCCCGACCTCGTGATCCTCCCTCGTCCGGCACATTCGCTTCGGCTGTCACTCGTGAGCATCGCTTCTACTTGTCTCCAAGGGAAATACTGCCAAGGGGGTAGAACAAGGAGTCTCTTTCCCCGCCCGCCACACACAGGGCGGGCGATAGGAGACGTCTCCGGGCGGGAGGCCTGCCAAGGCCCCCTCGCACTGCCGAGGCTCTGACTAAGAAAAGGCGCCCCAGCTGCCATTGGCTCGGATAAAGGGGCCGAGGTTTTTCTCTCCCCTTCTGGTTGGAGAAGGCGGGAGAGCGTCGGCCGGGCGATTGGCCGCCTCGTCTCGCAAAGGCGGGCGTAGAAGCCGATCCGAGCGCCGCGATTGGGAGGGAGGAACTCTAACCGGAGGGTATAAGAAAGCGACGCGCGAGGGGGCTGCGGCTGAGGTCGCGCAAGCGCTCCGAGTGCGTGGTATCAGGTTCGTGCGCGCTGCGGCGGCAGAGGTGGTTCTGAGGCGAGCAGGAACATGGCGGTGCAGAAGGCTGTTTGCGTCATGGCCGGCGACTCCCCCGTCAAAGGCGTCATTTTCTTCGAGCAGAAGGCGAGTGCCGGGCTTGAGGGAGCGGCTCCCCGTCCTTCGGGGTGTCCGGCGCTGTGAGGCTGCTCGCCCGCCTGGTCCCGCTCCAGGCTGCGCGCCGCCGCCGGGCTTTCCCTCGCGAGGCGGCTGGGTTGGGAGGCGGGAGGAGGCTGCTGCGCCCACTCAGGTATTAGCTGCGCGCTGAAGGTCGCTGGCCGCCCTCCCCTCCGGAGTCAGGGCCGCTCCTGTCAGCCGGGCTCGCCGTCGGGGCTGCAGCCTTGGGCCGAGCGGTGGGAGCTAGAGCAGGCGCCGTGGCTCTGTGGCATCAGGCCAGGCCTCTCGTGCGGCCTCTGCCTAGCGTGACCTGGCTCCGATAGAGGCGGCCGGCAGAGCTCAGATTAGATAAAAGGTAGCTGGGCGAGTTCCAATGAACTTTAGCCCGTTTACAAAACAGAAAGCGTAAGAGCTAACTCGTGGGCTTTTTAGGGGATGGAAGTCGTGGGGAAGGCTTCTAGGGAAGGGGAAACGGTTCGTTCCAGTTCTGCATAAAATCTAAACCCGCAGGTATTTTGAGGTGCAATAACTCGCTTCCTCCGTCAGGACCGGTAGAATGAGTATCTCGGCTCTTTCAGGCTGCCACTTTCCCTTCCTCTTGGCGCCACCGTTGGGCAAACGTTGCCCATAGCTGCTCTGGGGCACCTGTTTCTTTCCTTTCTCTTTATTATATACATAGCCAAAGAAAGGGAAATGTGCTGCAAACCTGGTTCTGTCCTCCCTGCCCAAAAGAAAAGGGACAATATGCTGAGTCATGGCTGCTGGAAAGCGTAACTTAAACCAACTTGCTCTTGAGGGAGAAAAAAGAAGAGTGAGAATTGTGAACTCTAATCTCCTGGGCAAACAGGTTTTGCAGCCTCTGCTGAATTTACTTAGGTTTTTGTTCATGTGATGTACACGCATAAGCTAGGGGAAAATGTAACGCGTCGTTGAAATAATGTGAATAGCAGGACAGAAGCATAGCTATGAAGTATTTAATAGTGAATGAGGATCTTTGTGCTAGATCTTTGAAAGTTTGTGTATATGTATTTTATGTGTTGTAGGTTTTAATAAATGTATAAATATCTTTTTAAAAGCTGCTATAGATGATAGTATGAATGCATTTAGAAAGATCTGTTACTCTAGTTACCTTTAACTATGAAGAAAGCATGTCTGGTTCAAAGAGGTTTAATAGACTGTATTAGGTAAAGGTACCCCTGACAGTTAGGTCCAGTCGTGGACGACTCTGGGGTTGTGTGCTCATCTCGCTCTATAGGCCGAGGGAGCTGGCCTATATTACTGTATTAGCAGGACTGTAAATGTAATATACAGAGCAATACATTATGGCAGGTGGGTAGCCAGTGTGGTGGCCCCGATCATCATTCCTGAACATTGGGCAGGCTGGGGAACAACAGGACAGTACCATGTCAACTATTGCTGCCTTATTGACACCATGACTATTTCTAGTTTCAAATATATTAAGTGAGAGAGCACATGGGAATTTGATAGAAAAGAATTATTTATATATTGTTGCATTTGGCAGTATATTTCAGAACTAGTATGGAATTCATTGAACCTTAACCTTTAGTGTCACGGTTTAGGCTCCAAAAGTTCTGATGGTGCTTAACTATTTGAGGGACTTTGCTGTATCTTTGGAAATACTTGCATGCTTATAGACATTTCTATGGAGACTTCACTGACACCAGTGCAGTGCAGTCCATTGCAAGCAGGATGAAAATGATTTCGAACATTTGTGCTTTTTGATCATTTGATCCTCAAGATAGATTACAACATCTTACAAACTACAACACAGCCTTTATTCCAAATAACTATATCCCTGTAAAATACTCTTTAATTTTCATGTAATGTATACTGGTGTAGTGATTTTGTTGGATTCCATATAATATTTTTTATGTAGCGGTGTGGAAGTCTGGAAACTATTTGTTACAGTTCAAGCTACATCTTGTCATCCTCAGCAGGTTTGCATCCTATGCAATTTCTAATTTAATGTAGCAGTATCCTGCTGTTGTGAACAAATCATCTCTGAAGTGAGTAAATAACTACAGTCAACATTAATAGGCTGTGGGATAAATACTTGCCTAAGTGGAATGTAAGCACAGACTTGCATATCATTCATAGCTAAGTTTGTGAAATATTTTGCCCAAGGCTATTTAATGTGCATGCTTATATTGTTAAACAGCTAACCAGAAAATTAAAAAACACACCAATGTGCACCTTTGACATGTTGTCTAGATTTCATTATATTACTACTAACATAGGAGGCCCTGGTTGAAATGGGGCATATCACTTTCTGCCTACCTTAAATAATACTGCTGTTGGACTAAACAGCTATGCCAGAAGATTCTACAGATCAGCAGAGGGTTTTGTGGATCCACTGTTTCACCGTCAGCCAACACCTGAAATACATTAGCAGCTTTTTCTGCCCCCTCCCTCTGGAAGAGTCTGGAACCTGAATGGTCATTGACTGCCGGGGAGCAAGAGACTCCATCATATGCATGACCTCAAGTTCTTTCTTATAATTGTGAATTGCAGGGAATAAATATAATTAACTATCAGCAGTAATGAAAAGTCAGGTTTAACCATTTTATCAGGGAAATGCTTCATTTCTGAATGCATTTATTAAAATGAGATTGTGTGAATCCAATAAGATAAAATGCTACTCAAAGCAGCATTGTAACAAATCTAGTTTAATCAGAAACAAAATGTTGATTTGTATCTTCAGTTTGAAGTTTATAATGCATCCTAGGGAGTAGTTTACGAAATGTACACTTACTAAGCAACTTGAATTGCTGTTGGTTATGAGCATTGCTTTATGAGCAGCTTTAAATGTCAGGCATCCCATCGAGGTCACTAAAAAGCATTTAACATGTTGGCTCTCCATATAGCAGGTGTAAACCTTGCATTCTTGGTTTTGGCATAAGTGCATGCATCACACCCTTGTCTGTCACTGGAGAGACACTTATCTGGACCAAGGTGTGCATAAGAAGTTTCCAAACAAATACACCTCTTTGATACACCACCAAAATCCAGTTGTGGGACTGTAGGCACGATGATAATAATAATAATAATAATAATAATAATAATAATAATAATAATAAATATTAATATTAATAATTTATTATTTATACCCCCATCCATCTGGCTGCGTTTCCCCAGCCACTCTGGGCGACTTCCAACACAATATTAAAATACAGTAATGCATCAAACATTAAAAGCTTTCCTAAACAGGGCTGCCTTCAGATGAAGACAGTAAGATTTTCTAGGTTCGTGCTGAGTACTATGCCAACATTCTACTGTAGGATCATACTTAAGCATGTATTGCTTGAAGAATCAGTTCTCTCCTCTGTACAATGTCATTTTCCTTGGAGATGGAAGGACTTTAAAATGGGTGGTTTGTCTGAATCTTTCTATTCATACTAATCTGTTTCAGGGTAACGGACCTGTAACTGTTTCAGGAAGTATTAGTGGGTTAACTCCAGGAAAACATGGGTTCCACGTCCATGAATTTGGAGACAACACAAACGGTAACATTATTGTTTTTGCTCTTACAACCTACAAAATGTTTTCTAACAACAGAAACATATATGGCCAATAGTGTCTTAAGAATGTAAATATTAGATTGCTAAGCAATAAATATACTTCCACTCTTGGGGAAGCAGTTTTGTATTTAGCTTGTGATGTGCATGATACTGGCCTAGGCATTAAACACAGGAACTCTTCAAATCTCTAAAGGGAGGGAGACAGGTTACCTTGACAATCTTCTCCCTCACACTTTTAATTTAAATTGTGTTAGATTATGTTCATAAGCATCCTGATAAAATATATTGTTTATAAAAGATAAAGAAAAAGAGTTTAAGGCTAAGTCCTGAGAGCTATCTTATATGGATTTGCATAATGTGGGGAAAATACTGACTTCGGGTAACTTCTTATAGGATGTACCAGTGCAGGCCCTCACTTCAATCCTGAGGGGAAAATGCATGGTGGACCAGAAGATGAAGAAAGGTTTAGTATAAAACAAGTTTCCTATTTGTGTATGATCTTGAAGTACCTTCTACCTTCTAATATAATGGCTTGCTTCCCATCAAGTAACAGTGCATTGCATTATCTCCCAACACAGTGAAGAACCAGGATAGGTTCCTGTGCTGCAGACAAATGTAAAACTGTAGATGGGACCTAAAATTCTGTGTATTTCACTTTTGGGGCATCCCTTTTTTCTATTTACTGTAATACATCTAGGATAACTATAGAAACAACTGGACTGGAAATTAGTAGTAAGAAAACTGTCCCTTATTTATTCAAGCAATAGTGTCTAAAAGGACTCCTAGCCGAGTATGTACTAGCGCAGGAGAAATTAAGGACTAATGCTCATTTTTCTTAAATTTTTCTTATTTGTTGCTCTCTTCAGTGGCACAGTCTGCCAGTTGTGTCTGGGTATTACTGTTCTACCGCTGGTCCACACCTCTTTCGGTTTGTAGACACTGTGCAAGGCTTCCTTCTCCCAGTGGTGTCCTTTTTCTGTCACCTCCTATTCATTCCTCAGATCCTACTTCATAGCTCGTCCTTCCTGATGCCTGTTTGGCTTTCATAATTGTGGGCACCCAGCTCACTTGGTTCCTCAGTTCATTTCTGAAGGATACTTCTGTCCATAGACCTTAAGAATATAAGTCAAACTTGCCTTGTTATGCAACTGCTCTGTTGGTCAATCATTTAGCGAACATTCGGTGATTTTTTGCTGCAACACAGTCAATTAGAGTGGTCTGATGGGGTGGAGGGCTTGAAGGCAACAGCTAATTTTTAACCTCCTGAATTGGTAAAAAGGCGATGAATAGATGTGTCGAGTACTGCTTCTTATTCAAAAGGGTTACTGACGTGTTCTCAAATTAAATAATTTAAAATAAAGCACAGAAAACATTAAGGCGAAGAACCCTGTCCCCTGTGTTAAATTTCTAAATTTAGGGTGCTACGGTCTGTGTCACACTAGTTCGAAGACAGAAAGATTTGTCCTGCATATATTTTATTCAGCATTGCATAAAATAAAAATGTTAATACAGGCACTACTAGAACAAGCAAAATACAGCCATACAATTAGAGGCATCAATAGTTGTGTACATTTGAATTACAATTAAGTTTCATTTTTTAAAATGGCCATTCTAAATTACATATAGGACCCCACCTGAACTCTTCAGAATTTCCTGGAATTTTGTACGCTTCTAAATCCCTCTCCTTGTGTTGCCATTACATATGAAGCTATTGGAAGCGCATGGGTCGAAAATTCCAGTATTTAGACCATGATAAAAACTCAGCAAAACAATGGCTTTAACAGGAAAAATTAAACTGTCCAGTATTAACAATCACTTTATATAATTTTTTTACTAGAGATGGCTTATTGTCAGGTAGGAATGATGTGGTTTTAGGCATAACTGCATGTTACACTGGTGGAAGTTTTTACAATTAGGGTAGACAGCTTGAGCTGGCTATAATATCATCTTAACACTTGTCTATATATTTCAAGTACCTGTTACTGAAGCTGGAAAGCACCAGCTTCGTATGTTTCAGCAGTTGTGTGTCACAGTAGCACCTCAGTCAACTGCATTTAGCAATTATTACAGGTCATATTCTGCTTATAAAATCAAATCAACTATTCCAGGCATGTTGGTGATCTTGGAAATGTGACTGCAGATGGTTCAGGTGTAGCAACAGTATCAATACAGGACCATGTTATTTCTCTCTCGGGGCCACATTGCATTATCGGGCGTACTATGGTGGTAAGTATTTCTTTGAGCAACTTCCCTACAAATTCTGGAAAAATACATCAATATAATTTTTTTACCTGTGGATGGTTTGCTTCAGTACTTTGACCTAGAGGTCTTGGCACAGAGTTGCTGCTTCTGATTCTCCTTAGACATGCTTGCTTACATAATGTAGGCGCGTTGGGCATCACCAGCACCAGAAATGGGCTAAAGCGTATTGGAAGCCTGGAATTCTTCTGAGCATTACTGCACATGATCAGAGTCTTGCTATAAATTCTGAGGTGAAAAAATATCCCAGGTATTTTAAGGAGCTCCTCACTTTGCTCCAAAGCTTCATTCTCAGCCTAGCTTGAGAAGCAGTTCATTATAATATTGCATGTACTTGGGCAGAGCTGCAGATGTTTCTGCTGTAAAATTATCGCTTAAAATATTTTGCTATACACTACTGAGTACAGGCTTTTGGTGAGGTGCTGGTTCTTTTCAACTGCAAGTGCAAATTTGGAAGTGTTCTGTCAACCTAATGGGGAAGCTAGCCAGATCTGGTTGACTATATGTAGTGCGTAGAGTACCCATAACAGTGGCAGCAAGCCTTGTGGGAATACACAGCCACTACCCCTAAACAACTTATTTCCTAACTTAGTTATTTCTATGATGTTTGTAGATTACTAATTATTTGATGTATAGTATTTATCCTGCCTTGGACCATTTGCACCATGTGGTTGAAACTTACTTTCCCTCAAATTATTTATTAATGTAATGATCTCCACCTTATCTATCCCTTTTTAGGTTCATGAAAAAGTTGATGATCTGGGTAGAGGAGGAAATGAAGAGAGCAAGAAAACTGGAAATGCTGGTGCTCGTCTAGCTTGTGGTGTGATTGGACTGGCCAAGGCTTAAGATCTTTGACAGTGGCACTGTATACCAAAACCTACATGCAGAATGTAAATGTACCTATAGAACTAGCAATTATTTGGCTTTGTTTAGGATAAAAAGCAACTGTTTAATCTTGCGGCTCTGTTAATTGGGGTTTAAACCAATAAGTTGTCTTATTTTGTATACCTTGTAATTAAAGTGGCAGTAGAACATTAGTTCAAGAATTTTTGCCTTGATGGACCAAAGCACCGCCAGTTCACTTTGATAGAGGTGGTAAAGTCCTCTGCTGATTTCATCATCTAATCACATCTGGACAACTGAAATTACCTGATGGTGGCATAAACAAGCTAGCTTGAGAGAACCCTAGTCCTGAATGCTTTGCTCTAAATATGGTATAAACCTAGTGAGTTCTCACATCAGCGTTTCCAATGGGGAGGGGTGACTTCTCATCGATTCCAGTACATCAGATAAGTGTAGATAAACCCAATCATTAAATGAAAAATTGCTTCTGAAGTCTACTGTTACTGACTCCAATCAAACGTAATCTGTGACAAACTAATTGCTGCAAGTGAGATAGCCGAGTCTGCCTTTCTTGTGAGCTGTTGGAGAGGACATAAGAGAATGCCGTGGCTTATTTAAAAGATCTGCATCTTGGGATTGTGAGTTATAGCTACAGAGTAGACATTCTGACTTCCTGTAGAAGCCAGGTTCTAAATCTTTATATTCTTCCTTATTTAGGTAATATGGAGTAGCTTGGGTTTCATAGAAAATATATAGGGAGACTGATAGTGTATGGTCTTACAGGAGCAGTCTTGTCTCAGCAACAACCACTTTGAGCTATCTGAAATGGCTAAACTGAGCTTTGTATAGTGAGATATTCAGCTGCATAGCTGTAGAGGGCTACTGTGCATATAAAAAACTTGTTTCCACCATGTCTAGCTATTGCTATACATATTTGCCATATTCTATTTGACATTTTAACAAAAGTTCTTAACCTTAGTAGAAATTCATACCAACATCACACAAAGTGAGAGCGGTAGATATTGCAGATGAACATGCTTAATAAATGGTAAATGCTATGTGCCGAACATGTCAATATTAATGTGATTGCCTGCTTTGGAGAAGGGTATTGGCTAAAACCCTTTAATGCAAGAGGCACACAGAAAGCACATTTTTTTTCTATATAGCTCTCTTGAAGGTTTGGCAATTGTTTACATGCTTGAGCAGGTTAGACCCTTGCTCACCAAGACTGACAATCTTACCTGAAGCCCTCTAGGTTGCAGCGTTGCCTTGAAATAAGCTTGGGTATATTGTACTTATTTTCAAATAAACCTTGACAATAGCTTTGTCAAATTGTGTTAAAAACAAGGCAGATGACATACTGGCTCTCAAAGTAACAGTGACAACTACTGTCAGTAAACATGGGGATTAAATTATATAATCTTACTCACTTGGGCTTTACATTCTAACACAGTTTAAATTAGCTCTCCATAGAATTTGGAGGAAGATATTCTCTACCTGGCCTGCATAATTTAATTGTAAAAAGATCATGTTCAATCACAGCCGTAGGTGTTAAGAGTTAAGTTACCGGTGTCAAATTTCAAAAAGCAGTTGCAGTTTCATGCCTGTTCAGTTTCCTACTTCATGAAATAGTTAACTATTTTTTAAAATTGAGTTTTGGTGCATTTCCTAAGTGGCTACTAGCATAGAAACAAAGGTCAACGCATGGAAATCGATGTCACAAGTATATGAAGTTTCTCTTTATTCTACCACTGCAAGATAACTTACCTACCTCACATTCCACTTCCCAAAAAATTAAGGGGAAAAACTCATCTGAATGGGAACAGTAACTGAACTGAGCATGTCAAACCATGGGGTGATGTAATTTTTCAATTTGCCAAGTACTGCCTGCATTTCAGAATGCAGCAGAGGGGCTAATAAGTCAATACTTGCTCCTCTAGCTTGTTACAAGCAATTTGACAGTAGTTATGTAGTAGACAAAACAGGAGAGAGAACATTCAAAAACAGATTGGAATATAGTGGTAATTTGGTGCCTTACCTCCCTCAAAAACACAATTAAATTACAAAAAATAAGGTGTGCTTTCCACAGGACGCAATGTTGAACTTTTTTTAGGGCAACATTTACCACAAAATCTCTTGGATGGTGAGGAAAAACAAAAACAAATAAAAGTGATTTCACTGCAAACACTAGGTTTCCTCTTGAAACATTTAAGAGCTATTTTTTCCATCTAGAATAGTCATGTTAATTAAAATTCAGAAATCTAAGAACATAACTACCACATATACTTCATTTTTGTGAACTGTTACACAAACATGTTTTAACAGCTTTAAACAAAGTCTAATTTAGACTCCAGTACAGCATTAACAGTTCAAACTTTAAGATGTTGAACAATCCTTTACCACTTCTGTGCAGTGTAGGAAGAATAGCACACATTAAAGTTTGTTATGAAAATAGAGTTTATTAAAAACACATCCCTATTTGTTTTTAGGAGCTTTTACCGTTACCTTCACTTAAATTAAAAAAAATAGCACTTCTAATTCTGACTTGTAAACTTTTTAAAGTCAAAACTTTTAAAAAGTTACAGCAAAAAAAGGGTAATGGTTTATTCATTTCTTTTGTGTTATTTTTGTAGCTATTTAAATAGAAGGGAAGCAATCAAATTGCTTACATATCCCATAAACTATGGAGGAGTTGTGAAATAGCAAAAGCAAATATACAGCATACTGTACAACTCTAAAGCTCTACACTCCAATGTCACTTTTTTTTTTGACAAGTATTCCAGTCTAGCGAGGAGCCTCTGTGACTGAGCCAGTAGACTCTTCAGGTTGTTCAAGAGATGAGGTAGTCTCAGATGTTAACTCTTCAGCAGGTTTTGCACCTGTGGGTTCAGCCTCCCCCTTTTTAAGTTCTGGAACAGAGTCTGTATTTTCCACTTTGCTGCTCTGGGGTTCATGGTTTTTAACACCATCTACCCTGTCTGTCAACTCTGGTTTCTCCTTTCCTCGATTTTCGTCCTTTTCTCTGCGAGATTCCCTATCTCTAGAATCTCTCTCTCTCTGTCCACTGAAACGCCTATTTCGTTCCTCCAAGTCTCTGTGTCTATCACGTTCAGGGCTTCTTCTTCCCCATTCTCTCCTTTCACGATTACCAAGGCGTTCATGATCTCTGTCGTCATTGCGGTTACCATAGCGGTCCCGTTCATTTTCTATCCGATTTCCAAAAGACCTCCTTCCAAACCTTTCCTGGTCTCTATTTGGAGTAAACGGCTGCCTGTCATTCCTGAACTGTCTTCCATCTCGATCATCGGGTCCACCAGGCCCCCCTCCAGGCATTCCACCAGGCCTTGCAAAGTGGCCAGGTGGGGGGAAAGGGCCCTTCATCCCATGAGGCGGAGGCATCCCAAAACCTCCTGGGCCTGGAGGTGGGCCTCTGTGCATCATATGGGGAGGCATATGCCGAGGTGGCATCATTGGAAACCGTTGCAGATGAGGCGGTGGCATTCCTGGGGGTCGCTGGAGTGGTATCAAACCAGGCCGTGCACCCAAAAGGCCCGTGGAAGGTGTCTGTAGCCCAATCACAGGGCTGGGTGTAACTCCTTGAGTACCTGGCAAACCAAAAGAAATAAAGTTGTAAATGGATGCAAGATACATTCAAAAATATATGCAAGTCAATGTGCCAGAACCCCTATTTTTCTGCTGCTCCAGCAAGCTGCAAGCTACAATCCCCCAACCAATTCATACACTGCAGGACTTATTCCTGACTTCCTCAACCAACCTTTGCTCCAACACAACTGCCTTCCCCCATTTAGTACCAGCATATTCACTCAACATCAAGCTCATTTAAGTCCCATTTATTTTAACACAATATATCTAAGCAGGTAAATTTAACTCTCCCATTGCATTTGGTAGGATTAAAGAGTGCTCCAGTTTGGGTATGAATCATACCCAAATATTGTTAAAAGAAATGCAACAGAAGGGAGGGCTTTTGTTATAAATGAAATACTTCATCACAAATAAATTAACTCCCCTGTTTGTGTACACAGTCCAAAGTAGCTTTCTGCAGGCTCCTCCCCTCAAAACTTTTTATACTGTAGTCCTACAAAGTCAGTTCTGCATGTCATCTATATGGCATAGCACACACATCTTGGGTTCGTATAAAGCTCGAAGTCAGATAAAAAAAATTAGACACACGTACAAATACCAAACACATACAAAGATGAGAATTAGTGTATTCAGCTCAAAGGTTGCCAATATGGTGGGCATAAACACCAGTGTGCTGACCATTACTGCCTATGGCACCTGCGAAAGGGCTCAGTAAAAATACAAAATAATAATCCATAATTCATGACAGGCTGTTCTGCTTTTCCCGCTTAGCTCCTGTTTGCACTGGCTTAGCCCCCTCATAATGTCCAAATTTCATTGGATTGGGTATGTACCCTCCTATTAGTTCTGAACAGAGGTGCAAGAGAGCACAACAGTGGCTGACATCTGTTCCTGTTTGCTGGCATAAGCCAGGTAGAAGAGAAAAAAAAATCCGTATTTGCAAAGCTTGAAACAGAAAGTGCCTGCTGAATCTATTCCACAGGACTGGGCCAATGACAGTAAAGGCTCACTTTTGTGTTGATGTCAAATGAGCCTGGCCAACCTGGGGGAGAACCAACGGCAGAGGATCTGAGTGACTGCACTGGGTTATAAGGCTTTGGGCAACCCACAAGATGCCCTAGACATAAATGCAAGGACCTTGAACCTGGCTTGGTAGTAGACGGGCAGCCAATGCAAGGGCAGAGAACAGGCAAATAAATTTCTATTTCTTCCAGCAATTCCAAGAAAGAGATAACACATGAAAGTATGAGTCCCCATTCCCTCCCCCGAATAGCAACTAGCAGTTATTTTATCCTCTTTTAACATAACAAAATCAGAGTTGTACTAAAGGAAACAAACTTTGATTAGACCCCAAATGGTCTCTCTCCAAAATGGCCTTACGTTTCATCTGACATGTATGCTCAAAAGCATAGTAGTCTTATAGTCCTGCAAATTTTAAACCTTTTTCCAGCGGGTGCCACTACCGAGAAGGCCCTCTGCCTGGTTCCCTGTAACTTGGCTTCTCGCAGTGAGGGAACCGCCAGAAGGCCCTCGCCGCTGGACCTTGTGTCCGGGCAGAACAATGGAGGTGGAGACGCTCCTTCAGGTATACTGGACCAAGGCCGTTTCGGGCTTTAAAGGTCAGCACCAACACTTTGAATTGTGCTCGGAAACTTACTGGGAGCCAATGTAGGTCTTTCAAGACCGGTGTTATGTGGCCTCGGCGGCCGCTCCCATCACCAGTCTAGCTGCCGCATTCTGGCTTAGTTGTAGTTTCCAGGTCACCTTCAAAGGTAGCCCCACGTAGAGTGCATTGCAGTAGTCCAAGCGAGAGATAACCAGAGCATGCACCACTATGGCGAGGCAGTCCGTGGGCAGGTAGGGGCTCGGCCTGTGTACCAGATGGAGCTGGTAAACAGCTGCCCTGGACACAGAATTGACCTGCGCCTCCATGGACAGCTGTGAATCCAAAATGACTCCCAGGCTGCGCACCTGGTCCTTCAGGGGCAGTTACCCCATTCAGGACCATGGAGTCCTCCACACCCGCCCGCCTCCTGTCCCCCCAAAACAGCACTTCTGTCCTGTCAGGATTCAACCTCAATCTGTTAGCTGCCATCCATCCTCCACCGCCTCCACTCACTCATACATAGCAACTTTTTGACAATCTATTCATATTACCAAGAGTCTTCCAGGTGGGTTGATAGTAAGCTTCTAAAGAATTAAAGCTTCTAAAGAATTGGCAACTCTTCAGCTTCCTGTCACCTTTAAGCAGGAACAAGCTTGATAAGTATTTTTCCGAAGAACCATGGGGATTTCATAACTTCTCAGTGTCATCATTCTCTTTAACTGCAAAGTCAAGTGGTCAAATGCCTAGGGAAATGGTAAATGACCCCTGGATGGTTAAGTCCAGTCAAAGGGACTATGGGGTGCGGTGCTCATCTCGCTTCAGGCCGAGGGAGCCAGTGTTTGTCCTGATACATCTTTCCAAGTCATGAGGCCAGCATGACTAAACCAATTCTGGCACAACAGGACACTGTGACGGAAACCAGAGCACATGGAAATGCTATTTACCTTCCTGCCACAGCAGTACCTATTTATCTACTTGCACTAGTGTGCTTCCAAACTGCTAGGTTGGCAGAAGCTGGGAGCAATGGGAGTTCACCCTGTCTCATGGATTCAAACTGCCAACCTTCCAATTGGCAAGCCCAAGAGGTTCAGAAGTTTAGACCACAGTGTCACCTGCATACCTTTGGTCAAAAGCCTATCGGTATGGAAACCAAAGGCAGCCACTAAAAATAAGGAAGTAGCTTGTGTATATATTCTACCTAGGTTTACATAGTATTTAATATTCTAAACATTTTTGAAACACGTGCCTGCAAGAACTTGTGAGTTTCTAAGTTTTATGGAATGTTAATGACCATTAAGCCTGCAGAAATAATACTAAAAACTAGGCCACCCAGTTTTAGGGATGGTATTTCCAGTTTCACATGGAACCACCACAACAGTAACTTTTCTTGCTTGCTACGGCTACTTTTGGGAGGCAGGGGTAGGAAGCCAAGCTACTGGCTCAATCAGCTACGCTAAAAATCTGAAATTTTCCACCCCGGAGAAGGGGAGAGGGTTTAAATCAGGTGAGGCTAGTGTGTGGAGCTCCAGATACTGCTAGATTCCAGCTTCCATTATCCCTAATGGCCATGCTAAGCTGAGGCTGATGAGAACTGGAATCCAACAACAGATGAGCCAACGTCAGGTAAACGATGCAATTCTTCATTTACTTCTGTGGTTCAGAGTAACTAAGACAGAGGAAACCGGAGAGAAGATTAAGTGGGCTGCTCAAGTCCCCAAGAGCTTGTAAATGGTATTCTAAAGGGACAGAATAGGGTTGGGGATTCATGCTACTTACTTTTGGTGTGTGGATGTGTTACATTTCTCCTTGAACTATCCAGGGATATTTTATGCAGAAGAAAAGGGGGGACGATATCTTTTTCTTTTTCTGCTGTCAAAAACCATCCATTACCTCCCACATTTGAGCCAGTCTCAAACGGAAACCCTCTAGGACCATACAGAACTGCTGGGAAAAGCTAGGGTGTGCATCATTTCACCATCCCCTCCTTACCTTACAACCACCCCCTCACACACAGTCTGAACAGGACTGCAAGGTGCCTATTCCAGGCTTGCTGAAGCAAAGAACACTCCTTTGAAGGGATGGCAATACGCTACAGAATTATAAGTTCCTCTCGCACTTGTCATAATAAGATTTGTTCCATGAAGTGGAAGCTTACTAGTAAATTTCCCTTACGAGTCATTTTCAGGTTATGATAGGAAAAGTGACAGCTAAATGGCATTCGCAACATAAAGAGTTCAGCAAGTTTTCATGCTCTATCCTAAAGAACAATAAAACCGAAAATACCTGCAGGCTTAATGAAACTAAGAGATGAAATATGCACCAACTCTTGTAATACCACCAAATATCTGAAATGCAACAATGTAGTGAATCCAAACAGTTCTTGAAATATCAAGAGCAATGCAGAAAAGATTACGAACCAGGCCATAATTTATCCTAGCACAAACCTAGTTCTCAGATTTCTGTCCTTGGATTAAAAGTTCACTGATTTGAAAGCCATGCCAAGGAATTAAAGTTCATATGCTTGCTAAATAGTAAAGGTAAGCGATCCCAACCCACTGTTAGTTAATATTTACAGAGATTATTTGCTTGAACTGATTATATCTGGCACAAGCTACCTTAACTTTTTTTCCAACAGAATTTTAGCTGGGTTTCGGCTTGGCTGACTTGGCAAGGAAGTTACAACATGAAAGCTTGCACACCATTCTTACCCAATTTAACGTTCTTGTGCACTGGCCATTACAGCAGAAACCATGCTTTACACAGTACTAATATACTCATTTGGACCAAGTTATTGTTTTACTAAATGTGGTTAGATTTGTGTATGGTTTTTTAAATTGTTAACTGATGGATGACTATTAAATATGCTTTAGACATATTAAAGATATAGTGATGACAATTTGCTTTGACTTGGAGAAATACTACATTCACACCTGTTCTCTATTCCAGAGTTTCCGGTTAATTATAAGACTTGTGGCCAGTTCTCATAATCATTGTTTTGAGAAGTCATGGTGCATTTCTTTCACACTGGGGTAAGTGCACAGCCCATATGCATTTTACACAAGCAGGTTTTCTTGCAGTATCCAAGACAATAGTATTTCCCAGCTACACTTTCCAAGAACTTTGTAATCCTGCTGTGATTTGGTTGGTCAAGTACTTTGAACATTTTTCTGTAGCAGACTGAATCCCCTGTCGCATTCCTACAAGTTTTTTGGGGTTGACAAGGAGTTTTTGTGCATTTTCAAGTCAGGGTCTCCTACTGCTAAACTTATGAATGTGTTTATATAAAATTTCCAACTCTTCAGGGATCAGCAATCTTATATTCCTAAAGTGTAGATGTGCATTTTCAATTCCCCAAGCTCAATTCCATATTTAAGAATTCTGTGCTACACAGCAATACACAGAAGACACATGAACTTATTTCAGTGTTCACCTATCTCATGAGATGGGAGTGAAAAACAGCAGCAAGATTATCCCCCTTGCCAAAGTGGCAGTACTCATGTGCCACACAGAAGATAATATGCTAACTGAACATTGTACTGAATGTGGAACACAGGGGTGTGATAATTGCAGAACACATAAAATGTGGTTGGGGAACCCTTGGCAAATAAGTCATGGAAGAATAAGGCAAAGAACCAGTTCTCTAAACAACAATTGGGGTATGAAAAGTGGGGATCTATATAAAATACAGCAAGGCAGAGGTGAGCAGACATCAGGTTTGCAGGATTGACTTTGTTTTGTACTAGGGACCTCAAGTTCCACCAACTGGAACCTGGTGCAAAAGACACACTTAGAATTAAATAATTTGGAGCCCAGGACTTTGTTTTGAGTATCAGAACAGAGTTCATAATCCTTCAACACAAACATCCACTCATTACCTCAAGCTATCCTCATTTCAGCAATATACTATGGGGTGAGGAGAGCCATTTTGCAGGGACTGTTATGAGAGACAGAAATCTTAGCCAATCTACTGCAGTTCACACAGAGCGCTACCTGTGGATCCCAACCTATTTCTTCCCAATCCCGGACTAAGGTACTCAGATAATAACAGGGTCAACATAGTCTTCTGAAATCTACCTCCCTGTTACTCATTTAATAAACTTTTAGTTTTAAAAGGTCAACAAAATTTAATTACTTTTAGTGCTGGCTTAGAACAAAAACTTTTTCATTTCATTGTAAGTCATTAAGTAACAAACAGAACATAAATGAAACACATTTCACAAGTAACATAAAAGATGACAAGCTAAAAAGAAAATTTGTGGAAATTCATAATTAGAATGCAGCCAGAAGAACTGTGTGCTATATCATTTGATATGGAATCTTCAGCTAGCAGACCGATAGCTTCACAATTATTGGATGTCTTTGACAAGCTGAACAAAATAATTCTTGAGTATCACTGAGTAACTGAAATAATTCCCCCCTCCCAGAGTGCCTCATCATTTATCTCAAGTCTCTGAATGTTTTTTTTTAAAATAAACACATGACCAACAAATTAATTAACGCAGGCTGCTCAAATGAGAAAACATTAATAAAAACTCAGATATTATCCCAGAAACAATTTGCAAAAATCTAATAGTGTAATAATGTAATGTTATCAGTCACCTTGTGTTGGAAATTGTACTGTAAATGAATTCCTATCACTTTGAACAATCACAGAATTTTGAATGTCTGAAAAGCAACAGGAATCTTACAAAATATACTTAAAATCTGTATAGGATTGTGTGCATGCTGTGATTCCATTCGAGTTCAGGGGGGAAACCAGAATGTGATTGTAGGCACAGAATTCAAGCTTCCCAAGATTATCAGTTTTCATTTAAAACAAAGGGGCGGGGAAACCTAGGCCTTATGCTTCCCCTTTTGGATCATGAACAAAATAAATTATACAAAATTATGTATATGGTTTAGCTGCATAATTCATGCAGGTTGCAGAGTTCATATTTTCTTAGTGCAGAATTTCAGTTACTTCCTGTCAACAATTACAGAAACAATGTGGTGTTGTGAACCAATGTTTATGTATATTTCAATTCAAAGTTACATCACACATTTGTTTAATCATTTAAACTCATAAAACTGTGGATTATTTGAGATTCAACTTTTTTAAGCTATCAAATCCACATTCCCATGTGGAAACATTACTTGGGGGATCAGCCACCCCAACCTTTCTGGAACTGTATCTGTAAAAATGACAGCAATCTAGGACCCTTTTTCCTGACACATCTGGAAAGCATTATAGTCTGTATGTCACACTTCTACATGGTAGAGATGGCATGTCACTTGAAAATGCTTGGAATGTTGCCAGAAATGTGTCTACATAAGATACTCCAAAGCAAAAGCAACTCTGGGTAGTCTCCTCAGAAGAATCTTCCTGTTTTCCATTCATGTGTGATGCATTCTTCCATGTTGTTCTCTGTACAGAAGATTCTCTCCCCCCAGTACAGTTTAGGCAGCTTTCAGAGTAAGTTATGTTCCTCAAAATTTCCTTACGCTATGATTTCATAGCCTTTAAAACATGCACTTATATGCTATTTGAAATCACAGCAACTTTAAAAATCTGCGAAAGCTTTTCATTAAAATTACTGCATAGAACTAGTTTAGCTTTCACAGGCCTTGAAAGACAGACCTAGCAGAAGCCGCTTCCACACACCTTTAGGTTGTTGGTGGCACCCAGAAATAACTACACAATATACATAGGGTTTTGGAATCCAGTTGCTCTTAAAGAGGATTCAGGTATTATAAATGCAAGGATACTGCTGCTAGAAAATCATTTTTGAACTGGGCTGTCTCCAAACCACAGGCTCATTTTCAAGAGTAGATATGTAGATCCAGCAGACTGTATACAAGTTCCTATGCCAGTAAAAGTGGCAGGCTTCCAGGCGTACTTTGCTAGCACAGGGACCACATAATATGCCTCAACCACATCAGTACTTTTCAACACTGGTGCAGCATGCGGCTCCAACCATATAGCAGCAGTTGTTCAGCCATGCCTCACTTTGTAATATCTGGATCAAATCTGAGTTAACTTATTCAGTATATCTATACAATTTCATTAAATGGCAGCTGTTTGTCAACAGTGAATATTGCAAACGACCATGAAGGAATGGGATTTGCTTTCTGAAACATCAAGACATTCTACACCTCATCAGAGTGAGAGCAGAAATTAAGACCGACATCTTTGGAAATGTACACTATCCTCTGATGCTCTGCTTTACCCAAAATGTATGTGGAAGGCTCAGGGCAACCCTGTTTAAATACATCCGTTTCATTTAATATGACCACCAGATAGGATACCTGGAAGAACTCATGCAAGCATTTGTGCACAGGAGTCAAGACTCATATTGACAGATGAAAACCAGTAATTAAGAAGGTAAACTCTTGAGTGGATTCTCTGCATTTTTATTTTCCACTTAAGCAAATTCCATCTCCCTTTCAGGAGATTGCCAGCTGGTGGTGCCTTTGCAATTCATATACTCTTGCGCTTCATCCAACTCCTGAGCACAACTTGATATGACACTGAGATTGTGCCCTGAGCCATTCATGTTAAGTAATCAACAGATTTGTTTTTTTAAATTTCTACTTCAAAGACCACTGATATAACGATCAAGTGAATACAAGGTGTCACGAGCATGAGCCTCCTCTGAAGTATTAATCACTGCTTTTTGCAAAAGGCCCAAATAATGTACTTCTTGTTGGTATCACTACTGCAGTATGTCATATGACCTCCATTATGTTCAATGTGTGTAAGATGCCAAAGCATTAGATAGGTGTCAATTTTGAAGAGCGGTACCTCCAGTATATTGATGACACCCAGTTTTCTCCCTCCCTTCCTTCAAAGCCTGCCACGTAATTTCAGAATTTATATAATGCTTGCAGGAAGTAAGCAAGAAAGCTGATAGAAACAGTCTGGAGAAGAATGAATTGCGGGTAGTTGGTAGTCCTTATGTCTTGATGACATCTATTGCTGATAGCCTTCCTGAAGTTCTTTAGGCTCAAGATGTTCGGGTATTCTGAATTCATTGTTACATGTCCGATTCCATGCAGAAGTTAGGGATATTTATCTTACCAATTTCCACCTGCAATGCCTCAGAACTGTGATCTGTCAAGCAGGTCCTCATACCATTCCCCATAAAACTGAACGCTACTTTAAATAAACTTAAATATGTTGATCTAGCTTGTGTGGAATGTAGTCACCTCAACTAGAGAAATAAAAGTTTGTTAAAACACTTGAGGTCCCATATCTCAGCTGGAGAGCTTATATAGCTTTCCAGGCATAACTGCACAATGTTTTTTACATCAGTCCCTTAACTGCTTTGCTCCAGTACAGCTTAAAAGGAAACATTTCAATTCCCTCCAGATTTTCATGTAGCACAACAGTACCAGGGATTATAGAATTTGTCTTCCTAGAATATTTCCTAAGACCAGGCATTGTGACATCTGGGTAATCATTTTTTACATTTACAAAAAATATTTATTTTATCCCCCCCCAAATCACTGTGACAACAATTATGCTTGTACACTTATATGTGATTTCCAACCATCTTGACTTTGAGTCCTGGAAGACCTGCTCCCTGGCTTGAGGGCTTTTCCCACCTGGCCTGGGAGGGCAGAGCCTTGACTGACTCCAGCTACAAAAGCTGAGGCTGCTGAACAGAATCTCAGGCAGTGGTACTGTTTAAGGCATTTTATTGGAGGCAGGGTTGATACTGTTGTTGCTCTTTATTCTTTGTATCTCTGTTTTGGATCTTGATTTACATGGAAATTATTCAATTTGTTTGTGTATCTTTTGATGTTTTGTTTATTGATTATGACTACTTTTGTTATGTTTGTAGTTATGTAATTTTGCATATGTTGCAAGCCACCTTCAGCATCCTTTTGACTTTGAAAAGGCGGCATACAAATAAAATTATTGATTGATTAACCATATGTATATGGCATATTAAGGCAATATTGTGCTTGGAATGCTGTATATACAACCGAAGCTGTGGAGAATATTCATAATGGGTTGCCAACAGCTAGCATATTCCAAAGTGGAAATAAGGAGGTTTCAAACCAAGGAAGTGCAATTTTAGCAAAGCTTTCCCCCCAAAAATTGTGGAAGCAGTAATTCAGGTGATTTGGCAACTGAGTTTGAGAGTTGTATGATACATGAATTATTCTAGAAAGACAGTCTGGGCCAAAAAGAACCCCACTCTCAATGCATTATCCCCTTTCCTGGAAATGTGGAAGAGTATGGAATGCAAGTCTGCACTGGTGAGAAATTCAGGTGACAAAATGGTAGACAATTCTTACATAAGGAAACAGACGAGGAGTAGAAGGAAAGAAATGGTGGCAATGGCATTAGATCAGGGGTGTCAAACTCAAATTCATCGGGGGCCGCGGCGCTGCTAGAGGGCAGACGTTCTCTGGCTTGTAGGCTGCCGCACATGAGCTGAAGAGGCAGCTTTCTTGTGTCAAAAAAAAAAAAAGCGAGAATAAAAGGTGAAGGCTGGCGGCCGCCGGCGGCGGCGGCTACACGGGCCACATGACAAGGTCTGGCGGGCGGGATTCGGCCCGCGGGCCTTGCGTTTGACACCCGTGCATTAGATGGTTACATCTTTCTTGTATGCTCAGGTTCAGACTATATTAGGATATGTACAGATGTGCCTAATTGTAGTTGTGAGCACATTCACTGCATTTGGGCAAACGTACAAGGTACTGCTTGGAATTGAGCTCAGGAGAAGCCTGTTCTGGGTTTCAGGAGATGTTCTGCACACCACTGATTGCCTGGCTCTTTGTGTCAACCATAAAGCTACTTGCCCATTCTTCTGAGTTTAAAAAGTGTTTAAAATGTTTTTATTATTATTCAAAATGCCATGTAACTGAGCAGATAAACATGCTAAGTATCTGAAAACAAAAATCAAACTTATGCATACAAACTTACACATACCAATATCTCCTGAAACATGGAGGACAGAGGATCTAAGTGAGAGGGAGGGACCCTGCTTCCAGTCTGAGGGCTGAATTGCTTCTAGGGGAACATTCTGGAAGCTGCATGTGAGTGGTTGGGGTCAGAGGCAAAAGTGGGTGAAATAATAGATGTGACTCTTATCTTGATATAGTAAACCTCATCCCAGCTATACAGAAGTGAGAGGTTTCTGTTTGCATGTACACATACTTTTCTATCCAAAGAGTCCTTACCATAGTTTAAGGACAGATTCTAGCAAGCCAAAAACACTGAAGGAGGGCATAAAGCATGGCCAGATAGGGGTGTGGCCCGAAGAGAGAGAGAGTAGCCTGAATGGGGGTGTAGCCTATGGAGAGGCCTGAGATATGCATTTAGCCCCCAGTCCTGATGTTATCCCAGAAGCTAAAGGGACAGCAGAATGCGGGAATGAATATTTTAAGGAATAAAGGCAGTGAGAAAACAGTTCATCTTCAGGGTCATCTACACACCTACACTGACTCCTGGTTTCAGATATTTCTATACACAGCCATAGGTGACCAGGAAAAAAAACCATCTCTGGCAAAAGTAAGCCCAGAACCCTGAATCTGCTTATATATTTCCTGAGTCCCCTGGATTTGTTTTATTAAAACGTACCTAACATAATCATTTCTCAATACTTAATCACTGCTTCAATCTTTCATTATTTATAGTGGGTACTTGCACCGTTAAATGCTTTACTCCCCACCAAATTACACAGGAAAACACTTTGCTTTCTAAAATTTTGACTTCCTAACTATTGACAAAGTAGAATAAGTACTTTTGAAAGAAAGAAAAAGCACATATATATCCAGCAACTGAAAAGTGAACTTACCAAGGAGTGGAACTGGTTGGGTGACAGAAGCTGAGATACTTGTAGACGTTACAGGTGGCAGAGCATTTGGATATCCTTTGGAGCCATCTGCATTTTCAGCATTTCCTCTAGCTGCAGAAACTACTGTTGGAATGGGGTTTCCCACAGAAGAGTCTTTTGTAGTGTCTTCATTTATATTGGCCACAGTAGCTAGAACAGTGATATTAACAGAGATATTTTAAATGGCATACGCTTGCAATACCATCAACTTTAATAACATAACAAATTAGACTTACAGTTTGGGATGTTTACTCCTGGAGAAGGAGGAACAGAGACCGGAGGAACTGAAACTGGGGGGTTAATAGGTGGCGGTGGTCCAGGAGGAAGGAAACCTATGAAGACAGAAATAACAAAGCATCACTACAACAGAAATCCTTTATGATGTTGTTGTTGTTGTTTAGTCGTTTAGTCGTGTCCGACTCTTCGTGACCCCATGGACCAGAGCACGCCAGACACTCCTGTCTTCCACTGCCTCCCGCAGTTTGGTCAAAATCATGCTGGTAGCTTCGAGAACACTGTCCAACCATCTTGTCCTCTGTCGTCCCCTTCTCCTTGTGCCCTCCATCTTTCCCAACATCAGGGTCTTTTCCAGGGAGTTTTCTCTTCTCCTTAAAAGGAAAGGAGCATCCTTCCACAACTTGATGCCCTACATATGTTTTGAACTACATCTCCCATCCACCCCAAGCAGCATGGCAATGGTCACAGATAATGGGAGTTGGAGTCCAAAATATCTGAGTGTCACTAGGCTGTAGTAGATTCACAATTCATATGTATGAAAATTATGAGAATGTTTAATTACCTGGAGGCAAATGCATTGGGTTGAAGCCAGGCCTCAAAAAAGGTGGAGGTGGAACTCCAGGACCAAATCCTGGAGGTGGCATTCCCATAGGAGGGGTAAATGTAGGTGGCTGAAGTGTACCAACCATTGGAGGTCCTGGCTGGTGTGGTGGAACCTACAGTGGGATGAAAAGATTTACTCACCAATAATTCTACAGCTTTTTACCCATAGATATTGACTTACTGAGCATGAAGTCTTTGTGTGACATTTTAACAGAGCCAACTATTAGAATTCTCTCTCTCTCTCCAAATAATGTGTAGACATTGTATCTTACTAAAACTCTTTTTCAGTGGAATCATTTACATGTGAGATAAGGAAGCACAAACGTTTACAAGGAGCTTTCTTTGTAGTTGTCATTTCGGAATCTGCCATTAGCTAATGAGAAAAGCTACTTTTAAAAATGAAGAATGTGTTTGCATTGTTATGTGCTGAATAAAAAGCATTACAGAAAGCTCCAGCAGCATTTAAATCAGCCTTTCTCACCCTGATGCTCTCAAAACAATTTGGGCCACAACTCCATCAGCTTCAGCCAGCACCACCAAGCTGGCTGCGGCCGATGGGACAAATAGTCTAAAACATCTAGAGGGTAATAGGCTGGTGAAAGCTGATTTAAAGAGTCCCTTGCTTTTAAGTGGTATCTTTAGATTGTACAGTTAAACTTCACCTCTTGGCGTAGGATCTTCAATAAAAGACCTATAATTGGACTGATCATAGGTAAGAGAAAGACAATTTCACTTGCATAAAATCTTAGAGCAGTTAATTTATCAGATATTATGCACAATTGTAAGAACTGTTTAAAAGTGTTTTTGAAGTGATTTCAATGAAGTTTGCTTTTCAACGAATGCAATTAACACATAAATCAACAGTTTCAATGCTGATGGCCCTGCAGGTTTTGCCATCATTTAACCAATTTGTCAACAAGTTATCAGGTTAAGTTAAACCTATAGTCCTTATGTAAACAATCTAAGGCTAAATTCTCACATTGCTTTTTGACACAACAAAGATACTATAACAGGTTGTACCACGTGATTTCTTCATTTGAATGTGCCTTCAAAGCAACAAATTGTGATATTTCTTCTGTATCAGGTATACTTTTAGTTAGTACTAAATCTTGCTGTATGTTTCAAGTGTGAATTTTCATCATGTAAAAGCTGCACCGTAATACCATCATATGGTATGTGTGTCAGCATGTCAAAACAGTGCATGAAATTGCATCTTACTTCTCAACAACAAGATGAATCAAGCTTTAAAATTTCCATGTGCAGAAATGAGAAATCAAAAAGAGAAAAACAACTTACCTGTGGTGGAGGCACTGTTATTGGTGTGGGCATAGGAACAGGCATTTGAACGGACATATTTTTAGCAACCGGAGAAGTTTGTTCATTATGTGCAGCATCTCCCGCACCTCCATTCTGGGCTACTTGGTTTTCTGACTTTTTTGGAATTCCTTTCCATTCTACAGGAAAGATATAAACATCAATTACAAGAATGCAAAATATTTAATCTCAATTTCTGCCTTACAATGCAAGTGTAAAGTCTGCCATTAATTTAATTAATGCATTAACTGAACAGATGTATACATCATGGCCAACCCACTTATCTGTCCCAATGGCAAACACAAATACTATCTGAATCTGTTTAGGGTGACAAAAGACAATTTTTGGAATGTGCACATATAGTTTGTTCAGCAAAAGCACAGATTTGTTTGAAATGTTTATCTTGCAGCCCCATTATCTATCTTTATAACAGGCACGTAGGGTAGAATCCAACACTGCACACGCAGACTTCCATTCACACAACCAAAATTCACACTCCTCTTTCTCCTGCAGCCCCTCATAGGTCCCATTCAGCTCCATTTATGTTACGTGAGCGCACACAAAACTCTGCATTTAAATTTTATGCACTTTATACATAACATATTATTTTTATGTAAAATATGGATTTCATCATAAAAAATAAATTTTATCAAATTCTTGTAAATATAACTATTTTTGTCCACACTGAAACTGTACTGCATCATCTGCATATGTGTGTAATTGGACTAGGAGCTGCATTCCAAACCACAAGCAGGTACAGAAGCATCAAATCAGGTAAAAATTGACTGAATAAACATCTTCACTATTCCCTAATTATCAGCCCTCTTTCACACTACCAAGTAAGTATTAGAATTTATGTTTGAATTAGATTTCACGCTCCAAGGGGATTCACATTCAAGTGAAGTTCTACTTACAAACATCTCCTAAAGTTCCACCCCAAAGCAAGCAGAGTAAAACAAGTGACTTTTTAAAAACAGATTCAAATTATTTCACTTGTAAGACTTTTTCTTAAATAAATATTTGTTTTCCATATATTTATCTCTTACCAGGACTAAGTGTTTCATTGTCCAGCATTCCTCCTTCACAGAAGCTTTCCAAATCTTCAGGCTTAACTTTGCCCCATGGTATGTAGGTAACGCCTAATTCTACATCCCAATACTGCTTATAGTCAGGTTTAATTCCTTTATTTAAAGCCCATGCAATCTGAAGGAAAACAGCAACATACCAGTGATTTCCTTCCTACAGTGAACTTGTACTTGTTCAGCACAACTAAAGTCAGAAAGCAAAACATTTTACCCAAGAGTAGACCCATTGAAATGAATAGACCTAAGTTCGTCATGTCCATTTATTTCAGCAGGTCTACTCTGAGTGTGACTCACATTCAACACAGCCCACATACAATGGGAAATCTGCAAAGAATAACATATCGTAGCCCTGTGAAAAATTCTTGCAACGAGATGACCAAAGACAGTGTCATGTAATTAAGCAGTCCTATGCAAGCCACATAAACTGCCTCCATTTAACATGGTGGTCCATTCTGTTTGTAGGAGCTTGCCACGTGGCACATCCACCACACAGTTACCATAAATAAACATTCCCCCCAGCCTGAGCTGCATGGGGTTTTTCTTACTGCTACCAAATATTTTTTTCCAAAACCCCTCTGGATTAATTGATTGCTACGGATGACAATGGTGTCTGCAGCAAAAGCAATTTCTGTTTTCACATTCCTCTCTTCCCTCTCGAAAATATTATCCCATAGAAATCTTCTTTGGGGAGGGGGTTGAAGGAAAAATTTCATCCTATAAGTTAAGTTTTTATTGAAAAATATATCCAATACCTTTATAAATTTCTGATTCACTTTAAAGTTCCCACGACTCAGTTTCTGAAGAGCACGGTATGCATCTTGTCTTTCCACCATTACAATATAGGCACATCCCCTTGGTGGTATCATCTGTTGTAAAAATAAAAACATTGCACTACTATTAAACAGGAATTCCCATAAATTTTGCAAGGAAAAAGTGCAAAGTCACAATAAATTTGTTTGAATGTGTGCCTTATTTCCATACATCAGTGGAGAGAAACCTCTAGCCCTCAACCCTAATTGCCAAAGGTCTCAGTTTGGCCTGCAAGGCCATTTGCCACAAACCATGTCCACTCAACAAACACATGACAATATCCTCAATGGTGCAGCTCCCTCTTCACTTGCAGGAAAAGGTTTGACTTCAACTCACTACCTCCAAACAGAGCAATTTTCCTCTGCAACAAACACCTTTGATGTCAGTCTGTGAATCCAAAGTGCTTTCTGAAAATGCAGAAAGCAACCCCGCCCCCATACTCTACTGTCAGCTGCACTAGACAGTTTCCAACAGGGAACTCAGCAGTGCAGCCAATACCAGACATCTGAAAAGGAAAAATTCTCCATTTACAGTTTGAACCCAAACCACTTCCTCCAAATATACTTCAAGGGAGCTGATTGGCAATTATAGCAAACTCCTTCGAAGGCATGCTAGGAGCATCAACTGGCACACCTTTGAAGTAGGTTGCTGTAACCACTAATCAGCGATTATATAGACTTCAACTTTGATAAATGGCCCATGGGGGTAGGGAAGCTAAGGATCCTGCCCACTGGCCTGATCCAGTTCTCTACTCCTGACATAAACCAAGATACAATGTCTGTACAGCAATAGAAGAACTGGGACTTGCGTGTTTTTAATATTTCTAAGTTCTTACCAATTCAGTATATTTTCTTTTAATTGTCAAATAATTCTGTGTACATTGCGGCAGCCTTTGGCTATGTGCAATAAAACTGACTGAGACTGAGACTCAATATTTCTAAGTTCTTAGAGGTTTCCGAGGAAATACACAATGTTGATTATGGACTTTATTTGTTTGCTGTATCTATTACTAATATTCAGTACTGTTTACAGATATTTCTCACATAGAACATTTAAAATGTTGGCTTTTTAAAAAATCATAGCTCTCAAAATTTTTGGATACAAGTTTTCAATTTGTTTTTAAACAAGTATACAAATTTGCTAGCACGTGTTGCAAAAAAATACTACATGAATCACTCAAAATGGTTTCAGCTGGATAATTTTATTTTCTCGTAACTTGTATTTTATTTCATACTCACATTTATAGATTCAATTGGTCCAAACTCTTCTAGGAGACCTCCAACATCCTGCTGTGATGTTCGTTTATCCAACTGGCCTACCCATAGTGTTGTACTGCAAACTAAAAATGTGACAAGTCAAAGGTGACTGGCAACTTGAATCAGGAGCTAGCAATAATTTGAAAAGTATACATCAATCTGAAGGGGTAGGATCTAGAGTCCCTTGAGCAAATGGAAAGCTCTTCCAGAAGGAGACATCTCTCATTTCCAAACTCAGGATGAGAAGCTAGAGCTTGTCATCATCGCCAAAAACAGGACACAACTAGTCATGGTGAAATTAACAAGAACATTTGTGCATATCTGGCCCATCTTTTAAAAATATATACTTAGTTTTACTACACTGGTGGTTCTCAAACTTTCAGAGGACTGCAGCTCAGTAATAAAATGGCACTGAAAAATTGAATTTAACACAGTGATGAAGAGTATCAGTTTGCCATTCTGGCTTTGCCTACTGTTCCGAAGTGCTATCTTACCAGAAAAAGAAAGCAAGGACAAAACCACATTTGACAGCATGTATTAATACTGTTCCATCTTGCTAAGAAAGACAGAAATAATACTCACCACTAACAGTTTCTGTTTTGATTGGAGGAAGGCCTTTTGCTCTGCGCTCTTTCTCTCTCTCCCTTTCACGCCTTTCTTGGGATCGGGATCGAGGGGAATGGCGACGCCTGTCCCGGGAACGGGAACGACGATGACGTGATCTTCTAGTCCGAGAACCAGACCGTGATCTTCTCCTTTTGGGTGATCTAGTATTTAAGGAAGATATTAAAAATACAGAGTAAGTTTTACATTCATAGTTACTTGCTGGCTACTACTGAATTATGCCCATCCCAAATCTGATAATTGTTATTGTATAGTAAGGCTTGTCCTTTGAGAGCAATGTGAAAACTTACCCTTTTAAGATCTTTATTTCTGGCTATCACTGCCCCAAAATGCAAACAAAACACCTCTAAGAAGCCGAACCTGCCTTAGAAAAACCACACCCCATTTGTCCCTACGTATGCCTTGTATGAAATCACAAAATGCAAATGATCTATTCTTGAATGTAGCACTTACTGAATGGCAAAGTATAAAACCATAAATAACAAGAATGTAGGATAAAAGATTAAAAGCTTTCAGCTTTGAGATTTTTACATTATTCCTGTATCTGGATACACTCTAGTACCTATTAATGGATTATAAATGTACATGTAATTGCTACTTCTTACCTTGATGCAGATCTAGATCTTGACTTTCTGCTCTCATGCCTCTTTCCTTCGTGAACAGGAGGCTGATCCACTTCCATTTCCTGGGGGGGGGGGGGGAGGCAGAGATTTATTACCACAGCTGTTCTTCAGTTTCACTTTTTGATCAGTTTCAAATTTATAACTAGACAGCATTTGAAATGTAAAGATTTTCATTTGCTTCAAATTACAATTCATATTCACTTATATGTACATAAATGCACAGATTGTAAAAACTTGATTCCTTAAGAAAATGCTGTTTAAATGGTTTAATTAACATAGTTAAGGATGTATCTTACTGAATAATATTTGGAGCAAACCTACTGGAATTGATGGGCAACAGGTGTCATGATTAACTTAATTTCACTGATTTGACTGGGTCTACTCAGAGTATAAATTTAGTTGGATATAAACTTTTGTAGCAAATGAAAACTAGTAAGTGGTGGAAATCAATCAATCATTTTGCTTCAGCAAAATGCTAAACCAATCACATTCTATCTAAAGTATTAGTTGTAAAATAAAGCATGTAAGCTTGACAGGAATATCCAACACCCTTGCTAATACATATATAATTTGAGCTGAAAACAGGTTTATTATATTATCTAAAGTAACTTAAGGTATTTGTATTTCTAATGAGCAAGTTTAACTTCTTTAAGTGAGAATTTACTACCTGCCGATTCTGTCCAATAAAGAATTATACAAAGTGAAAACTTCTCAGTGTAGTGTAATGGATACCTCAGTTCAATTAAGAGATTTCTGCTCTGTTACAGTTACTGGAAAGTGAAATCCTGGCATAGATGTAATCTATTTACAGTAGCCTCGCAACTTGTGCGGGGGTTATATTCAGGGGATTGTGCAAGCACCCCTACCTGTCCGATGCTGGCACGCTGAGCAGACATTGCTCCACACATATAGAAGCTCTCCGTCTTGCTTATGGGGCTCTGGGAGGGTCTCATGGGAGCTTAAAAGCAAGGTGGAGAGCTTAAAAGCTCTTTCCAGAGTGGGAAAACCTGGTACCAAAATAACTTTTTTAAAGTTCTCTGGGTTATGTGCGTTTCATTTGTGTGCTTGCAGCGAACTGGTCAGCAAATACGTAAAGCTGTGATTGTGCAAGTTAAAGGTGTGCAAGTTTTTTTGCAAAACCATTAAACCATTGTTCCCTGGGTTGAACAAAACAGGAGATTATAGTCAACAGAATACTTTCTAGTTTGTTAGCTTGTTCATATGAAGGAAAGGCATAAAGAGTGTGTGCACTGCCAAATGTTTGTTCATGTATCACCTTATTAAGCCAAAGTACGATCGTCTGAATATTGCCTATATTGCCTTTTTGATCAAGGACTAAAATTGGAGATACAATAACTGTAGATTCCTTCACAAAGCACATATTAAAGTATACAGATTCTAGTGCAGATTAGAAATTTTTGAAAAGATTAAGCAATTAATCTATCATACCATCATAATGTACTGCCGCCACCACTTTGGGTGACTAAACATACTAAAACTCAGTACTCTAAAGGAGTCTAACCTGTACTGGAAATCTAATGTGACAAACACATCCAGATAAATTAAAATAGGGTAAGAAACAGCGACCGAAGCATACACTATGGAACTCTTGTGAACAGTGCTGAGATTTCTTCCTGGGTGCAACATATGGCATTAGGGCTGGGGGGAAAGATAGCAAGTTATTTACCTGCTGATGTGTATGTTTCTGTGTATGTGGTTCATTTTGTGCTGGAAAAGAAGGCTGGAAAGGTTGTTGCACCTGGGGTGAGGGTTGCATCCCAGGCTGAGCCATGGGAGGAAACTGTGATGCAGGTAGAAGTCCATAACTTGGCATTTGTCCATTTGGAGGAAGTGGGACCTTGTAGAAAAAAGAATATATAGGTATTTTCCATTAATTTAAAATCAAGAACAAGCTTTCAAAGTACTGCATGTCTAATTATTAAGTACTGTGCATAAGGGAAATGTTTCCAATACCTGGTGAAGCATAGGTTCCTGTTGCATTCCAAGCACTCGTTGCTGATACTGGTCTATATTTGGGAGCTGGGCATAAACTTGTTGCTGCATACCTTCGCCCGGAAAACCACTGAGCAATAAATATGAGATTTTAAAGCAGCGTTTTAAGGACATAAAATTTAGTACAGTAACCTAGGCTGCCATCAGTGCTCCCCTCCCCATGAATTTTTTCCATGAATACAAACTTCCCCTCTTTGCTCCCCCTCCTTCTGTTGCTTTTCTTTGTCAAGACTCTAGACTGTAGGCTCATTAGGGATGGAAACAGTATTCTAGCTGTTATAATGATGTCACTATTTAAGTATTTTTTAAGCTGAGGTGGTAATATTCAACTGTAACTGCAGGATAGGGGCTTTTTGTTTTGCTTAGCGAACTGATGCATATCAAATATTGCATAATAAAAGAGTTCAAAACAATGAAGTCTAATGAAGAGAACCTATATATGCAACATTAGGCTTCTATAACATCACATTAAATTTTTAACATCTACTGGTCTGACTCATAAATCTTACAATGTTGGTTGAGAGATTGCAGGAGGTGTTGGGTCCTCTTTCTTGGTGTCTTCTACTGCTTCTGGTTCATCATCATAGTCAAATCGATCCAACAGCTTCTGAAACATATTACATTGAGCCAACTCTATTTTCTTCAGTAAGTAATGAAAGACAAGTAAACAATATTAGTACCACTGACAATGTAAGATCATTTTAAGTTTTGCATACCAAAGCGTGGTTCACCAGAAACGGGGGACGGAAATGTCACGTGCAGTGGAGGTGAAATCAAGACTCCCTGAATACTTGTTCTCATAGCATGAAACAATAATTTGGCATGGCATTCCACACAAAAAACAAATCATTGAGTAAATTCCTTTTCAGTACAAGAAAAATATTACCTTATCAAAAGATGTCTTTTGCTCAGGTGCTGAGAAATCGTGTTTTTGTTCGGATGGTTGCGTTGCTGTAGTCTGCAGCTGGGCAGTAATAGCATGGACCTGAGCCATTACATTGTTATCTATCACAGGAGACTGAGGTTTCGGAGGCTGCTGAAAAGTCTGAAGAATCTGTTGGAGCTAAAATAATGAAAATGCAACTATTAATATCTTCTTAGGAATGATCGTGAAAACATCAGAGGCGTAATAAATGTACAATAATTGATGCCTTCCAACAGGTGGATATCTGCTCTCCCCACCCTCCAATCAGGCAGGAGTTACTGCTATGCCTGGTGGGTATTATGGTACAGGGCAGCTACTCTTGTGGCTCCTCCTCTGCTCTGTGTTCTTAAAGCTATAAGGGAGCACAGAGGTAGCCACAATAGACAGCCACAAAAGAGAGCTTTCCATGGAAACCTAGTAAAGCACTGATGATCACATCTGCATATTCACACTCTCCCTTCTGCACTTAAAAGTCTACTAGTCCTCAAGAGAAGTGCTAGTACTATGCAGATGAGAGGACAGCTGGCAAGAGAATAGAAAGGACATTTCTTACTCAAGCAGACAAAGGTCAGACATGTTATACATATGCATGATTTATTTTCAGACCAGATGTGATCAGTAAACAGCAGAAATATTGATTTCACTATTCACTAATGCAATTCAACATATTTTCAACATCTACATGCAGCTGCTGGGCAAGATCATAAGGGGGTTTGGGTTCAGTGTTCATCAATATGCGGATGATACCCAGCTCTACCTCTCTTTCAAATCAGAACCAGTGAAGGCGGGGAAGGTCCTGTGTGAGTGTCTGGAGGCAGTTGGAGGATGGATGGCGGCTAACAGATTGAGGTTGAATCCTGACAAGACATAAGTACTGTTTTGGGGGGAAAGGAGGCAGGCGGTGTGGAGGACTCCCTGGTCCTGAATGGGGTAACTGTGCCCCTGAAGGACCAGATGCGCAGCCTGGGAGTCATTTTGGACTCGCAACTGTCCATGGAGGTGCAGGTCAATTCTGTGTCCAGGGCAGCTGTTTACCAGCTCCATTTGGTACTCAGGCTGAGACCCTACCTGCCCGTGGACTGTCTCGCCAGAGTGGTGCATGCTCTAATTATCTCTCGCTTGGATTACTGCAATGTGCTCTATGTAGGGCTACCTTTGAAGGTGACCTGGAAACTACAACTAAGCCAGAATGCGGCAGCTAGACTGGTGACTGTGAACAGCTGCCGAGACCACATTAACACCGGTCTTGAAAGACCTACATTGGCTCCCAGTACGTTTCCGAGCACAATTCAAAGTGTTGGTGCTGACCTTTAAAGCCCAAAACGGCCTCGGTTCAGTATACCTGAAGTAGCATCTCCACCCCATCGTTCTGCCCAGACACTGAGGTCCAGCGCCGAGGGCCTTCTGGCGGTTCCCTCAGTGCGAGAAGCCAAGTTACAGGGAACCAGGCAGAGGGCCTTCTCGGTAGTGGCACCCGCCCTGTGGAACGCCCTCCCACCAGTTGTCAAAGAGAAGAACAACTACCAGACTTTTAGAAGACATCTGAAGGCAGCCCTGTTTAGGGAACCTTTTAAAGTTTAACAGACCACTGTATTTTAATATTTTGTTGGAAGCCGCCCAGATTGGCTGAGGAATCCCAGCCAGATGGGCAGGTTATAAATAATAAATTATTATTATTATTATTATTATTATTATAATTCACTAACAAATTTCCACTAATGGTTTTAAAATAGAATAGTTATATATTCTGCATTAGATAACCATCTTATTATCTTAATTTGAATTCTGTATTTTGGAACAAAAAGTCTCTGCTTGCCTGTTGTCCTTGTGTTGTCTGAAATAACTGGGCTACAGCTGCAAAGGCATCAGAACTGGGTAATTGCGGCACAGCAGGTACTGAATTGGAAGCAACTTGAAGAGGCTCAGATGGAATCACTGTGGCAGGAGGTGGTGAACCTATAAAATAAATTTAAATGCAACATTAAGATTTCAACAATTCCCACTGATAGCATTGCACTTTTACACTATAATGCAAGTTTTTAAAAATCAAAACTTGGGTGGTCAGTCTGTAGACCATTCGCAAATATGGTCAGTAAGTTTTTTTTAAATTCCACGGGCAGGATTCTCAAAATTAGACATCATGTGGCAATGCTTCATTGCCAAATACCCTCATGCCCTGCATGCCACAACACAAAGTATGTATTTTATTGTATTTTGAATATTTTTTGGAAGCCGCCAGAGTGGCTGGGGAAACCCAACCAGATGGGAAGGGTATAAATAATAAGTTGTTGTTGTTTTAGGGCCAGGTGAATATATGGCTGTAAGTATATGCAAAATATTCTTAGGGCCAAACTAAATTTGACAATAATCATGCAAGTGGTAGTTACATAATTGTGTTCTGTACAGTAAACAGCAGCCACAGGTGAATGGGGGCAACGATTAGGACTACATGATTAGGTCTAGTTTCATTGACAGTCCCATATAAACTCCTATCTTTCTCTCTTTCTCTGTATTTCAGTAATCATACTTCTTTGTCATACTTCTGTATAGAAAACCATGATGATGATTGATGATACAGTTCAGGAAAGCCTTTTGTAGCTTAACGAGCCTACAGACTGCAAATTTTGGGGGGGGGAAACCTTTATAAAGAATATTGATGATTGAATGGATATATGGAGAACTGCTAAACTGTTTAAGGTTAATATACTATTACACACCCACCCCAGTATTATTAATGTATTTGCAGCAATTTGTATACCACAACATATAAAATACTAGAGTTATATACATCCCTAGAGGTGTTTTGTCCATTAGCATTTTTAAAGTGCTTACTATTTAAACATCTCTAAGTGGTATACAAAAATATCACGAAACTAAAACAGTAGCAAAGCAGTAACAAACACAAACAACAGGAAAAGATAAAAAAGAATTTCAGAAATAACAGGATTCAATCTTATGGACCAGGGAAAGCCTGGGCAAAAAGGTATGTCAACACAAGATGCCAGAAACACATAACAGATTATGGTTCACATATGGCAGAGGGAAGGACATTTCACAGTGGTAGAAAATACTATTTGAGGACCAGTAATTTCCCTGTGATATTCTGTAGTGTTGTGCTATGAGTGAAAATTTCCCTGTGATCCTAAATGTGATATTGTGATACTGCAGGAGCAAGTGATATTGCTTAACTACTGAGCAATCTAAGCAATCACTTATACACGGATGCCATTTCTGGTAACAGAATATGCTGTATAGTATCCAAATCACTGTGTATTTTATTTATTAGGCCATCTTAATATTTTCAGCCAGACCCATCAAGAACACAGCAATGGGTAGAAATAATTCTATTCAAAATATGGGAAGAACAAAAAAAAAATGTTTTCACAGTACAATCCTAAACATACACATGAATAAGACAGTCAACCAAAAGGCTATTCACAGGGCTCTTATTCTATAATACAATCACTTAGCCAAAACATGAACTTTCTCATATTTTTAACACCAAGAGTTACAACAACAAAAATCTATCTCCAACTTTTGCTTGCAATTAATTCAGCCCATTCTATGCAGATTAAAGCAAATAAAGTCTGAGTTTGACAACATAGGCCCATAACAGAAAATAATGCTTTAACTAAGATTTCCTACCTTCATTATTAGTAGTATCTTCAGTCATTGAAGCAGTACTGCTAGCTCCTGCTGCCATGTCGAGGAGAGGTTGAATTATTTCTATTTTAAACACTCCATTTTTCTGCCATAAGTTGAGGACACGAACTATCTTACTCTGTTCAAAGAAGAGATGTGTAAGTACACTTTTAAAAAATCTTCATTTGCTTAATTAAAGCTTAGGCAGTGTTCAGACAATACTGTCCCCCCGCTTCAGTTTTATACATCATGAGCTCAGGTAATGGACACATGCACTTTGTTTCCTATCACCTAAACAAATGTGAGACATCTGAGTTCAGATATCTTCTGTTCAGAGGGGAGACAAAACAAGGTGCATGAAACCAATCAATCTCACAATGCACAAAGATGAGAGCACAAAAATGCCATCTGAACAAGGCCCTAGTCCTTGCATGCACACACACAAAAAGAGATTAGTACTGTACAAAACTTTTATACTTTGTTTCCTATGCTTTGTAACATTCTGTGACTTCTCCAGGAAATGACTGTGGACATGAGCAACAGTGAGAAGGAATGGAGAGATCAAATCCCATACAATATTTTTCATGACACACTTTATGGACCTCCGAACTTAGTAAATGATGGCTACTTTATTCTATTCTAGACATGGGAATCAGTTTTGTCAGCATAATACATACAAGCAGCAGGAACCCAAGCCTGTTCTAAGTCACCAGCCACATCTAGTTTGTGTTGCAGCTTTACTATCAAATAGAATAAAATCCAGCTCACATGGCTTTCTACACAGAAGAGAAAAGTTCCTCCATAAGAGCTTTTAGTCATGAAGTGGTGAGGAAGAAGGGCCTCAAAAATTTAAAAGCCAACTAGAAAAGAAACATTTAACATCAAGGCCTCATTCAGAAATAGTATCCAACAATCAACAATGTGTGTTTGTACATGGTAGACCAAATATAGTAGGATCAGAAGATATTCATTTCTCTCTCTCTCTCTCTCTCTCTCACACACACACACACACACACACACACAACAAGTCGAAATGCTACAAGAAATTGAGTTATACCTTGTCTTCTGTTGGACAGAGATATAAATACTGGAATGTGGCTGTTATATTTTTACAGAATCTTGGCCCAAAAACATCCTTATCTGTTCCAAATTGATGACGAGACTGACGAACAATAGAGTCAATAACATACAATCCAGGAACTTTGTATTCTGGTTTACACTAAAGAGAGACAGACAGAAAGTCATATAAGTAATATACATTTTATAAATCCTAACAGTAAGCTCTGTATGATCATAAAACAGGCCTATCATATTAGCATGAAGTTAAAAGTCCAGAAAGCGGGGGAAAGAAAAACAAACTAGCAGGTGCCATACAACACTATAGACATTCCACTATAATTCCTGGAATTTGAACGTAAGTGCTATTCACTTTTTAAACACTGATCTCAGAAATCCAGTCACATATCAGGCAAGATATGCACTTTAAAAATATGCCTATGAATATACATTAATTTGACTCAGTGATGGTTATTTTTCATAATGATGTCATAACTACGATGTTTTAATGTACATCACCAAATGTTTTTAAATGACTTGGCAGTTCAAAAATAAATAATCAATGTACAATAGAACAAGCAGACTAAGCCTGCCCCAACATGCCCTGCCTTTGTATTAGTTGCATGTTACCTAGATCACAGGAAGAATTGACACAGCTAAGGTCAAGAATGTAGGCCCTATGTCCCAAAAACTCAGTAACATCAACGTTTTCTGGCATCTAGAAATGCAAGAAGGGGAGATCCATACACCAGCTTTGCAATTCGCTTTCCAGCTCCCAATCTAGGCAGGCTAAACTTCCTCATCTCCTCTTACGCCTTGTGTGCTTACTTCTTCTTGCAGGTGTGTTGTGTATTAGTTTAGTGGTGGTTAGAATTAGCTAATTCTCACAAACAAACAAACAAAGCCAAACAGCGAAGTTGCAACCTGTGCACATTCAACTTGCATGATCAAAACTTTACACGCTTGGCGGCCAGCCAGCTGTTATCACACAAGTTAAAGCACACAAGGCAGAGAGTCTTGCTTACCAGGCTCTGGGAAGCTCCTGCAAGATCTTGCCTTGTTGGGGGGGAGGGGGGCAAGGCCCATGCTTCCAAAAAGTACGAATGATCACACGGGAGTGGTTTCGTGATTTTTCCAACTACACAATTTTGGCTTTACATACAATCCCCCAGAACAAATCCCCATGTAATATGCTATATTTCTGCACAGTTATGGAGCTATTACCATTGCCATAATTAATATATGCAGTTGCTGAGTGATTTCCCATAGAACTGCTAGATGCACGTATTTTGATTGTATGTGCGCTAAAAAAAACAACCCATTTTTGGGGGGAGAATGTAAATTGCTGAATCATCAGTAAATACAACTTAATAAATATTTCATTTACCTTTTTTATAAACTTCTCTACAATCTGGACTACGTGTTTGTAAAGCTGAAAGAGAATCAAAGAACATTTGAAATGTTTAATTTCATAATATGTTTAAGAAATGTGAATTTGTTTACCTTAAACATTAGCATATAAACTCATATCAAACTAAGCAAAAGGAAATATATCATAGGTCATTTTATTAAACTAGTCCCAACTTGCATTTATAACTATCTCCAAATCATCTCAAAGGAGTGTTTGAAATGGAGTTATTTTTAAAAATTACTTTGACTGTGATAAAATTATACATTAAAAGCATTATAATTAAAATTATTCAGTATCTGTAAAATATTAATAAGTGAGAATGACTCTCAGTCCATGTGATCTTTGAAAAAACACAAAACATGCTACAAATGTTCAAACCTTTTAAAATTTTGTACAAAATAAAATAAATACTCTTTACCATCTCACCTTAATAGCTTTGATGGCAGCTTTAGTAATAAGAATCATCTTTGCACGAGAAATAGGAGGTTTCATCTCCATCAATGAGAAGAGCTAACATGGTGGGGTGGAGAGAAGAAGAGAAACCAAAAATCGTAAAACACAAGTAACTGAAATGCAACTTTGTTACGACACACCTTTTGATGAACTCTTTCCATCCCAGTTAAATGCTAAATAGCTCCAGAACTAAAAACTAATTACCGTAGTTCAAATAACAGTGCAAGTTGTAAAGCTATTTCTGAAATTATGTCACACTTAGAAAGTGGCATATGTTCCAAACTGCACCCATAAAATGTTATAAAAATGGCTAATCAGACTATTCTGTGCTCTTCATATGAAGCTGAAACCTGTATCTCAGGCAATTCTCCAGACTTTTGTAGTCAAAATGCACTCTAATGCCACCACTCAGGGGACTGCAGGTGTACACCCGTTGTCCATTGTGTTCCTCATCCATCTGCCTTCAAAGAAGCAATGACAGGGAGCATGTTTCCCCTACCCTGCCAAAAAGGACACACTGCTCCAACTCCCTGTTCACCTGGGACTGCAGAGCTGAAAAGGAGCACCTTCTGGCATTTACCAGCAGACAGGGGACAAAGGGCTGATGGGTTGTGAAGGGTTTTTATGTTTTTGTGTGAATGTTTTATTTTAATATACTAGAATCTTCTTTGAGGATCATTCAATTGAAAGGCAGGATAGAAATCTTATAAATAATGAATTAATAAAACAACAGGAACTCACATGAGAGGGTGCAGGAGTCCCAAAATATATTTAGGGGGGGAAATTAAGGAGGCAATCTCCACCCTCACCCCACCCAAAAAAAGGAAACACAGCTCATTGAGGACTGAACATGCTCAGTTGCCACAGAATGCTGAGGGGGAGTAGCTGGAAGTCTGAACAAAAGCACTCGGCACTGCAATGTTTTGTCCCAAAGGTTCCCTCAAATAATCAAGTGTCTATCAGTTTGGAGGTGAAATGGGACCAACCAAAAACAAGATATAGGTTTCTACATATTCTGGGGACTCCCTAGGAACACAGAAGTATTTAAGTTTGTAAACTAAACTAACAATAAAAAGAATTCAAAACCCAGAAAACAGGCTGCCAATGGTTTCTGAGCTTCCAAGACGTCCAGAATGCCAAGATGGCAGGTGAGGAAGAGAGAAAGGAGCGTCAATTGGCCGGCTCAAGTTCCTAAGAGCTTTGTCTTCTGGGAGTGGGGAAGACTAGGGTTGCAGAGCTTGTATATGCCACGAGGTTATAAAAAACCTCCCTTCCTTCCACTATGTAGGGATGTTTTGTAACTTTCGTAATATATAATGCCGCAATATATAATGGAAGCAGGCATTTAGAAAAAAATGAAGACAGTAATGATGCTAGTTTCCAGACATGCTGCTGTATATCCTCTTGGGGGAAAGAGGCCAGCTAACAAGAAAACAATCTCAGAAAGCAAATAAGAGATTCAACAGAAAGAGAGGCACCAAATTTCAGCAGAACAGTTAGAAGCAGGACTAAGATTTAGACAAATCCCCAGTTATAACTTGCCAGTCTAAATCCATAATAAATATTGATACGAGGTCCTCATACACTGTAAATAATTAAAAAGCTACCACACATTGTTAGACAAAAATTTACTTTAATAGCTTTTTATTCATTCACAGTTGAATCAAAATAGCCTCAATAAATTGTGTCCTTAAGTTTGTCTCTAAAACTGCCTAAGGATTAACTCAACCAAAGGTTTCATTTATACATTTACTTGTTAAAGTTTGCAGCTCCCCCCCCCTTTGTAATATCATGTTGGTATTTAGAGGCTAGAAGAACAGTATTCAATGGTTTTATATTAATATACAAATGCCAAAGTAAAAAAGCCATGTCATTAAAAGACATCCGCCTTCAGCTAAGTAAGCGATTAGTACAGGCAACTCTCATTTTGTGTGCATCACTTCAAACCCAGTAGTAGAAGAAAAAGTGGGCATAATGGGGCAGGGTGGCCAGAATGGGGCAGGTTTATGTGTACTCCGCCAACGTGCACAATGACTTGGAACTGAACTCCCGAGCAAAACAGGTGTTGACTGTGCTTCCTATGTTTGTGTCCAAAACCAGTCCACCATCACATAATGGCTGTCAGTGCAAGTAAAGGTAAAGGGACCCCTGACCATTAGGTCCCGTCGTGACCGACTCTGGGGTTGCGGCGCTCATCTCGCTTTATTGGCCGAGGGAGCCAGCAAACAGCTTGCGGGTCATGTGGCCAGCATGACTAAGCTGCTTCTGGCGAACCAGAGCAGCGCATGGAAATGCTGTTTACCTTCCTGCTGGAGCAGTACCTATTTATCTACTTGCACTATGATGTGCTTTTGAACTGCTAGGATGGCAGGAGCAGGCAATGGGAGCTCACCCCGTCATGGGGATTCGAACCGCCGACCTTCTGATCGGCAAGTCCTAGGCTCTGTGGTTTAACCCACAGTGCCACCCGCGTCCCGTCAGTGCAAGTACTTCACTCCTAAACCAAGTTTAAAAATCAACATTCCTAACAGCAAACTCAGGTTGCTTAGTACCAACAAAACAGGAGCCAAAACAGGACCACTGAGAAACTAGAGGGAGATTATCAGCAAACTGAGGTAAAACACAATGATCACAGAAGTACATTTTGCGCAACGGGGGAAGGGGAACGACACAACAGCCCAGCAGCAATCTCATATTGTGTGCCGTATGGGGGCGGGGAAACCAGAGAACTGGTCAGCAGGAGTGAATTAGCCTACATTTATGGTATCCTGACGGAGAACATGGTTGGCCAGCCCCTGAGCAGGGACACTATTGGTAAGGGCTTAAGACAAAACAAAACATTTGTAGCTCTCACTTGCTATGCTCAAAATCAAACAAAAAGAAACGGCATATCCTTGGCTTTCTAGAATATCGAACCACTGCTGAAAGAATAAAGCCAGGATAAGATCACATACTTGTATAAAAATTAAGAACCTTACCATTTTAGGATCAGATTAAACATTAAAAGGGCCACGTGGCTGCTTGTTGAGAGCTACATCCCCACTTTTCCCCAGTAACATCCTGTAGATGAAGCTGCATGGCATCATCATGCTAATATTTCCTGCCCCACTCTACAGGCAACCAGTACAATTATTGTAAAACCAGTGTTATACAGTTACAATGGTACACTGCTCAGCACTCTGAAGGCTGAATTCTGCATTAGTTGCAGCTTCCAAAGTTGCAGCTTCTTCAGAAATAGCAGCACATACAGAACATAATACAAACAAAAGATTACTAATGCATAGGTTAAAATTAGAACACAAGAGCCTGCAGAACCAGGCCAATGCCCATGTAGTCCAGCATCCTGTTCTCACAGCGACCACCTAGATGCCTATGGAAAGCCAAAAAGCAGAACCTGAATGCAGCAGTGATCTCTTCACTTGCGATTCCCAGCAACTGGCATTCATACTGCCTTCAACAGCGTGTGTAAGTTACTGTGGCCAGGCTAGCTCAGTCCATAAACAGCAGGACCTGACAAAGCAGCTACAGCTGGAAAAAGGCACCACGTGCCACCAATGCCACCCAGCATCAAGTGCCAATGCTGGAACCAGGAGTACCTCGAACTATGAACCTACTCCTTCAAGGCGACTGCAATCCAATCTGTAACAGGTTGTCTATCTACTTCCCAGACACATGAGCTGCCTACACACACACACACACACACACCCTCTCCATCTCAGGATTCAGTCTCAGTTTAAAATTACTCCCATAATAATCTACAGGAGTCAAAATCACTATATAAGCTTATAAAACCCCAGTATATATATAACTTTAAAATACCTTTCTTTTCCAGTTATAACATTCAGTTACCCAGCAAAACTTAGTTGTTTTAATCATTGGTAAGATTTTGCACAAAATTTACAAATTTGGATTGGGGGCTCTTTGTGGCCTCAATTTCATCTACAAAATATATGTAAACCATCAGCAACCTCACTCTGAACAAGAGGCCAGATTTAAGGGTAACGATCAAATATATTCCTTCAAAAGAATCAATAAAGCCCTCAGACAGCCCCCAATTACCAGTGTGAGAGAATGTGGAACCTGTGTGTGTCCTGTAGCTTATGTTTACCAAAATCTTTCCCATGTTTCATGCCATATGAGAATGTTTCAATAACGAACAATTGGTCCTATTCAGAGCAAGACATCCAGTGAGGCAATATGTACCATCCAAACCCAAGCATGGCATAAAATTCTGGTTATGATTCCACCAGAAACTAACAACTCATTTACAGGGTTCTGCATGGAATAAAAGTGAGACTTTTTTCACCAGCATGCCATTAGCAAAGGAATTAGCAATGAAAAGCTTAGGTCTGACTGGTACACTGAAAATCAGAACTCTCTCTCCCCCCCACTCCCCCAGTTCTTTCTTACTGAGAATTGTCAGCATCAGCAGTTTTAATGTCTGTTAAAGGACCATGATTCTCCTTTCTTCAATGCATATTGAGCAATTTCAGACCAGAATGCCAAGCCTGAAATTGTTCTTTATTATAATAAAACTAAAGGTGACATAAGATGGTTTTCATACACTTCCATGATCCAACTGTAGCCAAAGGTGGGTTTGTTTTTCCAAATACTTTACAGTATATGTTTAAATGCACGTTTTGGGAAAGCTGAACAAACCACAATGGTGTGAACATCCCAAAAGATGTTTCTTCTCAGTAGGCCTTATCCCAAGGTCAATACCAACTTTGGGATGTGTCTAGAAACATGGTCAGCTTACCTGGAACATCAAGACAGGCAGCCTCAGAAACGGAAGGCCTGCTTTCCACTGCTAGCATCTACAGAGAAATGTGTCATCTCCGGAGTCAATGCAATGACAGAAAATCAGAGCCACGCTGTTTTATGTAACTTTTTTCTGTCCTACACGCGCCATTGCAAAACGTGATGGTGCATATATTGCTCAAGCAGTATGTACTATGACTGTCAGTTCTATAAAATGCTTTTGTTATTACATGTAATTTGTAATTACTTATTATTGCACTGCTATAGTGATATATCATTTTTCGTTTAGTCGTGTCCAACTCTTCGTGACCCCATGGACCAGAGCATGCCAGGCACTCCTGTCTTCCACTGCCTCCCCCAGTTTGGTCAAACTCATGTTCGTAGCTTCAAGAACATTGTCCAACCATCTCGCCCTCTGTCGTCCCCTTCTCCTTGTGCTCTCCATCTTTCCCAACATCAGGGTCTTCTCCAGGGAGTCTTCTCTTCTCATGAGGTGGCCAAAGTATTGGAGCCTCAGCTTCACGATCTGTCCTTTCAGTGAGCACTCAGGGCTGATTTCCTTAAGAATGGAGAGGTTTGATCTGCTTGCAGTCCATGGGACTCTCAAGAGTCTCCTCCAACACCATAATTCAAAAGCATCAATTCTTCGGCAATCAGCCTTCTTTATGGTATGCATACAATGGTACAATACTGAAGTTCTTAAAACTGTGGGGTTACTTAGTTCCAACACACTGTCATGTTTTGTATCTTACACTATAGGGTATCCTTCACCTTGATGACTTATGTGCACCGTTTTTTACTTGAAAATGGTGTCATGCTTAATAACTTCCACCAGGTTTATTTGCATCACTTCCTAGATGTATACTTAATCTCAAACCCAGATTGAAAGTCAGTATTTCTATCAACTGAGGGTTAATCATCTGCGTTCTCCACTAAACAAATTAATCAAGATAAAAACCACACTGCCAGTACATATTTAAGTGTAACAGCAATACTGAGTTAGTTTTCACTGCTCTGACTTCCACACATTTTTAGAAAATACTCTTAATCAAAGCTAAACAGATTAACAACATTCCCCAAGTGTCTGTTATGGTATCAAAAGTATTTTCCTCCAGGTACTGCTAGTGAGACTAATACTTTTAAGATAGACTTCCATTTTCTCCTGCTGTTGCTCTACTGACAGTGAAATCTTGCATTGTAATGGCAAGCTTTCGAGATTAAGAAAACTGCTATATTCAGATGAGTGGAAGATGAGGGAAATGGAAGAAGTCTCCTCTCTCCTACGCAATGCTAAGGTGGCATGAAGGAAATCTCTTTCTCCTCCCTCCCTATACCACTAGGAATGAGGAGAAGAGTGAGTCACTGAGGAGCAAAGTACAGTATGAGATGCAGAATCTAGAGTCATCCAGTGAAGCTGAGATTCAGAACAGAAAAAAGGAAGTATTTCTTTGCATGGCGGATACATAATTTATGGAATTCACTACCAGAATGTGTAGTGATAGCCACCAACTTAGATAGCTTTAAAATTAAATTAGATAAATTTATAGAAGATAAGGCTACGAATGGCTACTTATAGTGATGACTATTACCTCCAGTCTTGGAGGTAGCATTTATATTAATATCAGTTGCTGGGGAACACGAGTGGAAGAATGTTATTGCACTTGTGCCCTAATTGTTGGCTTTCCATAGGATTCTGATTGTCCATTGTAGAAACATAATGCTGGTTTAGACTGATACAACAGGACTCTTACGTTCTTTCGAGGGCAAGCATCTGAGTCAGGGATTGTTTGATCTGAGTGGAAGAAGCAGCTGCAGAAAAAGAATTGTCTGGAGAGTACATTTAGGATCTATTCAAACTTCCTTGTTGTAGAAAAAAGCCCTCTGGTCTGTGAGCTGAGGAAATGTGATCACAGCTGGGGAAGCTTGCTTCTCAACTGTAGGAAAAAGGATATGTGAGGATTGAAGCTCCTTCCACTTCCTGGTTCAGCCCTGGGTGTCCCATCTTCACAAATCCAAAAGCAATACAAGATGGAGTAATGTTTCAAAGGTAATGACATGGTTTTTAAGGAAATATAGATTTGCAAGGAATCCCTGCTCTTTTAATACTAAATATGAAAGGACAGTTGCAGTAGTTCAGTTTGGGGCACGCATGGAATAGATTTAGTAAAGGAGTATCTGGCAACCTTGAGTTTTCAGCTATATGATCATGAACAGCATACTGGTAGTATGGGCAGGGCTTGCATTGTCCAACAAGGATTTACAGAAAAAATAATTCCCACTTCTGGTGGCAATACTTTCTTTTTGAAGAAGAGACTTGGAAGTTTATATCCAGCCACGTAAATTCCACTGGTGCACACCACTCTAGCCTCATAGCCAAAGTAGAAGAAAACTGCTCATTTTTAGAGCTTCTAAGGTATATGTTTTTTTTACAGTGTGGAACAACCTATAGCAACAACCAGATTAGACTGGCATCATGGACATCAGAGAAGACACGTGTGTTAAGCTGACTGTGAAGGAAATTCAACAACACACATTTTAGCACCAATTTTCTGCCTTTGGTAGCTCCTTCTGCCTGAATCCATGCCTTACTCCATTTTGTATCTTTTTGCACACTTATGATTACTTCATTAGGACATTTTTGATGTGCTCATACACAGCAGAACTACAAGTCATTTATTTGTTCCATTCCATTTAAGGAACACACAAGATAGTTTACAACAGGGGTGGCCAACTTCCAAGAGACTGCGATCTACTCACAGAATTAAAAACTGGCAGTGATCTACCCCAGTTGTTGAGCTTTTTGGGGGGAGGGGGAAAGCCCCGTTTTTAGGGGGTTCGGGATGCATAAGTTGCTTAGCTTTGGGAGGAGGGCACAACGTTTTTACATTATTTTGGGGTCAAAGAAAATAGCAACTCACCAAAGGATCACTGGGGGGAAAACAGCCTTGGTTTGTAAACTCCGTCTTCTGGTGCATGGGTACTGACAATGACAGTGTCCCTGGATTATTTAGCACTTCTCTTGAAACAATTGCACTGGCTACCTATTTGTTACAAAGTCTAACTGATGATGAATTTTGAATATAAAGCCTTAAACACTTTTTAACAGCTTTGAGCTTTTTGAGGTGTGGTTTTTTTAAATTAATCAATGTGTATAAATTTTATGATTTCAAACCAGCTTAGGGCTCAACTACCTGAAAGAACACCTCCCCTGCCCAATTATATTCTGTTCTGGATCTGAGATCACCAGGCACACAGTTTTATGTTGCAGTATCATCAGTGGGAGTTTGGTTCACTGGAAACCAGAACAGGGCTTTCTCTGCAGTGGCACCCTGGTTCCGGAATGCTCTCTTGCCTGAATTCAGGCAGGCTCCTACACTGAGCTGTTTTCAGTGACAGTTTTATTATTATTATTATTATTATTATTTTGGTTTTTTTTTGTTTGTGTTTTTTTTGTTTTCAGTGACAGTTTAAAACATTTCTGTTCTTCCAAACCTTTGAACAACAGCAGTGAGCTTTTATTTTTGTTTTCAAATACGAGAAATACTGTGGGGTTGGGGGGTATTTTTACTATTTATGCTTAAAGGTTTTTTATTCATTTACTGTTGTGGTTATCTACTGAATTTTTTGCACAGAGTACATATTCTGTAACATTAGGGTAAGGGGTTAGATATAGGTTTTTTATCTATCTTTCTATAAAAATACTAATCTAGGAATACTGGCATAATCAGAGCTAAGCTATGTTCAGAAGTCCCTGGTTAAAATGTCACCTGCCCTGTGCCATAATATTCCCATTCACCCTGAGTGCCCTCCCCCCCCTTACAGTTTTAAAGGATTACATAAAGCAAGACATATATAGTATTTTGAACAGTCAAAATTAGTATACTAAGAGAAGATCCACACTATATTTTAAAGTCCATGCAACACACATGACTTCCTCCAAAGAATTTTGGGAATTGTAGTTTTGCCCTACAAAACTAGCTAGAATTTCTATCACCCTTAAGAAACTACAGCTCCCAGCATCCCGCGGAGAGTCGTGTGCTTTAAATGCGCATTGGATGTGCTTTAAATATACAACTCATGTCAGAAGCCAGGATAGAGGTGGCTCTTTAGCATTCATTCTCCAGAAGCTGTATAATGGTGACAGACACACCGCTATGGAGAGAGTTCCACAGCTTCCAGGCCGCCACCATCACCCTGCTGATCTCAGCACCCAAAAGGGTCTGTAAGGAAGGAGGCAATCTTTCAGGTATTTGGGGTCTGAGTCATTTAGTGCTTTAAACACTAATGTGAGTGCCTTGAATTAGGCCCAGAAATGAACTGGCAACAAGTGCAGTTGGGTTAAATCAGGGGTTATACGAGACCTAAATGGACCCCAACCAGTAATCTAGCTGTTGCATTTTGGGCCAACTGAAGCTTTGTGGTCAGCTTCAAGAGCAGTCACATGCAGAGCTCATTGCAAGAATCCAATCAGGAAGTTACTAAAGCATGAAGTACAGTGGCCAAGTCATCTCTGTCCAAAAAGGATCGTAGCTGGCAAACCAGCTGGAGCTGAAAACAGGCATTCCTAGTCTCCAATATTCCCTGAGTCTCCAATGTTGAATCCAGGAGCACTCCAGAACTGTTAATCTGTTCGTTCCAGGGGAAGCCACTTCCCCACCTCTTAGACAAAAGAACCTGGGGCACATAACACCTTACTGTTTTCAGGATTCAGCCTCAGTTTAATAGCCCATGTCCAACCCATTACTGCCTCCAAGCACTGGTCTAACACCTCAGCCACCTTTCCTGATTCAGATGAAACAGAGAGCTAGCGTTAAATAGAGCTAAAAGAACAAATCCTAACAAACAGAATGACGGATCTTCATTCTAGGGAAAATAAGATGGAAGGCAAGTGTAAATAGGCTGCTATCAGCTTCCAAATATTAAAAATGATAAAAACTATTGTTTTTTTAATTGCATAAGGAAAGAAACAGAAAATGTTTTAAATATTTATTTGTATTTTGTTTATTAAATGTGTATACCACCCTTCATCTGAAGATCTCAGGATAGTTCACAGAAAAAACCACAAAGTACATAATAAAAACAAGAACAAAACATACCAGTACCCCACAAACACAATACAGCAAATATAAGAAGAGGTTGCAATTAGGAAATAGGTTTTGCCTTCCTCACCTTGAAATACCACAAGTGCTACACCATTTGTGTTAATTTATCTAACATCTAATTGCCAACCATATCCTAACTATATTTATCCCCAGCACAAAAATGTTATCTATGGTATTAACGAAAAGCACTATATATAATACAACAGATATTACAGCACCTTATATTGACTGCTGTCAGCAGGAAGTATCCAAAACCAGTACCTTCGGATATCACCACTGGAATACCCACTGTTCTGTTACTATTGTGTGTTAGATACGAGCATCCCCAGAAGCATCCAGATTTCAAGTAAACTATCACCTAATTCTATTTCTGTTACCCCAAGAGCAGGGGTAGGCAACCTAAGGCCCATGGGCCGGATGCGGCCCATGCCTTCTCAATCTGGCCTGCGGACAGTCCGGGAATCAGCGTGTTTTTACAGGAGTAGAATGTGTCCTTTTATTTAAAATGCATCTCTGTGTTATTTTTAGGGCATAGGAATTTGTGTTCATTCCCCCCCCCCAAAAAAAAGTCCGGCTCACCACATGGTCTGAGGGACTGTGGGCTGGCACACAACTGGAAAAGGTTGCTGACCCCTGCCCAAGAGGAATATAGTGTCTAGATGTCAAAAGCTGAATACACGGTATTGGAGGGGATACTATCAATGAAGATTACTGGTGTCTTCCAAATGTTTTAGACTACAGCTCTAATCAGGCCCACCCATCAGACCCTAACTATGTTCAGGAATGACGGGAGTTGTAGGACAGCAACATCTAGAAATGAGTAGGGGTTCAAGCACTTGAATCACTGGGTGTCCTCCAACTTTAGAGTCCCACAATATGTAAATAAATTTCACTTTATGGAAAAGAGAACACATATCCACAACAGATGCTAAAATATGTATGTACTCTGAATTATTTGAAATTTTAAGCCCATTACTGCTCCATTTTATTTTCAATTTATACCTTATTTCTCAGGGTTTAAGACAACCCTTTATGACAACACAAAATATGTGATTATGGCATCTGGGCCACAGTCAGACCTAAAATGTAAACAAGCTATAAAAATGTTCAAAAAGTGAAAATCTGCACAGTAAAGTTGAGCTTTTTCTTTTTCTAGTTTTGCCCCCCAAAATTAGACATTTTTGAGCTTTCCTGAGCTAACTCAGCAAAAACAACACTGCCAACATCAGCTACCATACGTCCAGATTTCCCTGGACATTTAGCCTATTTCTACCCAGACACTGCTTGCGGCTCCAATATTCTGGATACGGCAAACCTTGACATAAAGGAGTTTTCCATAAAGTTTCTACGGTTGCAATTAGAATTATACTCCACTCAAACCAGTAGGATTTAGGTCTAAGAATAAGTTACCAAGCATCACTATTTATTCTGGACTTAGGAAACAATCATTTTACTATTTCTCTGAAAGATAAAGCCTACACAATATACGTTAAATTTGTGGGCATGTAAAATGCCACAATGGCTTGCATTTTTCATGTCTCTCTTTTTCTTCAGTGCATTTGTACTACAATGATGCTCCACAGGTCTCATTCTTCCATTTATATCTAAACACAGAATATCAGAGCAGTACAGAGAACTCTGAAGACAGCAGCCACACACCTGTACTATGATCTCTACCAAGGTGAAGCAAAGAGGTCAGCATAGCCACTTCCTGGCTTTCTGCCATAACACAATGCATGAAGATGCAGTAGCCATTCTAACACTTAGCTGAACATTTTGAGTACAGTGGTACCTAGGGGTAAATACGCTTCAGGTTACAGACTCCACTAACCCAGAAATATTGCCTCAGGTTAAGAACTTTGCTTCAGGATGAGAACAGAAATTGTGCAGCAGCAGCGCAGCAGCAGCAGGAGGCCCCATTAGCTAAAGTGGTGCTTCAGGTTAAGAACAGTTTCAGGTTAAGAACAGACCTCCGGAACGAATTAAGTACTTAACCCGAGGTACCACTGTACTTCATCTCAGGAGCTCACACACAGTAATCTTAGAAAACACTCTGAAATAATACTTACTACCCCAAGCAATTAAGCAACTGTTCATTCTCTTTATGGAAACATTACACAAACTGCAATGCTTTTTCTAAAGTTGATGATGATAGCATTTATAAAGTTTTACATACAATACTGAAAAGAATCCATTTGTTAATTGAACACATCCCATACACACCCAGCACATGCACTAAAGTTACCCAAAATACTTTTCATGCAACTGAGCATTTATAGGTCCGTGTTAAGACAATTTAGTAGTACTGAACAAGCCCCAGGTGGCAAACTGAACCTGCCACTTATGCATAGCTGTTTTGATATTTCGTATCGGGTTGTGTAGGACCCAAAGAAAGACAACCAGAGGTGTGTATGGCTGTCATAATGCTGTGCTTAAATGAAGGGCAATATTCTGAAGCTTAATGTACTCTTTCAGTTCTGAACATTAAGTTTCCTAACTGGAAGGCCACTGATATGCCCAAATATAAAAGCATTTACAGTGAGCAAACTTTACAGAGTTTTCTGTTCAAAAAGCATATACAGTGATTTAAACATTAAAGTCTACTTTATGTCCATGTAAACCTGCATTTATGCACACTTTGATTTATCTGGTTATCTGCAGCAGAAATCACATTAAGTTGTAAATTTGCTGCAATCTTTATGTAGTTTAATAACACTTGTATCCATTTTCCAGAATACCACAGCAGTACACAGAAACCTTTTAGAGAAGTAGCAATGTTAGTCCGCTGAAACAGACTTTTATGAATGTCAACTGTTAATACACTAAAACACTAGCAGCAGCCATTCAGTTTCAATGCGATTCACCAGACACTTCAGCTCGGAATTCTTCTGACATTCTGTTGTGAGAATATGCCCAATGTTACCTTTAAAAAGCAAGTTTCTGATGTTGGCTAGGAACTCTTTGCTCCTTGAGATCAATTCCCTCACTTTTCCTACCCACCACAACCAGACCTGAAAATAAGGGGGAAATCTTCCGGATTTTCTATTCACACTCGCGCCATGTGCACGATAATTTGAAAACCGTGTACATTATCTAAGACATAATCAGTGGGGTAGCTTTTATTCATTGCTAGATTCTGCAACGCAAGGGGTTCGCACAGTATCACAGAAACAGTTGGGATGGTAACTTTAAATACAAAACTTTTTGATGGGTCGCGTAATAGGGCTGGAAATAACATGCCCTCGAGACGCCTAATCTCTTCGCACGTCCCGGATCTTCATCATCAAATGGCTGCAAGAAAAAGGCCAGAAACTTCCTCTTCACTCCGCCGCCACCCCGCACCGCGATCTCCTCGAAGTGCGCGCTCGCCCACAGACACACACACACACGCACAATATACTTAGGCCCCCTTCCTCCCCCCCTACAGCGAAGCGCTACCCGGCACGCGCGCATTACTTCCATTCCCGGCCTCTCCCTTGGCCTACAGGGCTGACCTTAAACAGCCCGGCCGGGTCTCCCCAGCAGCCGGGCCCGGGATAGAGGACCTGGGAAGTGTGGCGAAAGTTCTTAGGCCCCCTTCGAGCTTGAGGGAAGTCGCGTGTGCAGCGGAGGGGAAGAGGGCTGAGAGGAAAGCGGCCCCTGAAGCTCCGCGTCACCCGACGCAGCGCCGCCACCCACACGCCGGGCCCAGGAGAGGCCGCCGCACACCGAAGGGCGCTGGCAACTCTTTCCCGTCGGCTGCTCCGCCTCAGACCAGGCCTGCGAACTCCGGCCTCCAGCCCCAGGCTCCAGAGCGGTATCAGCGGTCGCCAGCCGCTCCCAACCCCCCACCACCAACAGCCGGGGCCTACCCGTCCCGCGCTCCCTTGCCGGGCCCCGTCCCCACCTCTTGGTTGAAGGCGTTCACAGCCTCCATGGCTGTGGCTCGGCGGCCTCTTGCTACCGCGCGCGGAGGAGCCCCGAAGGAAGCGGCGGGACGTCGTTCTCGTCGGCCTCCCGCCTTCAGGGCCTCGGCGCTAACATGTCCGTTTGGCGGCAGCCCGCAGCGCGTCTCGTTGGCGAGGCAGCCGCGCAGACTGTCTCCCCCTCAGCGGGACGGCGGCGCCCACGCCGCGAACAGCACCCTGGGATAGCGCAGGCCTCCGGGTTGCGCGCCACCCATCGGAAGAAAGGAGAGCAGCGGACCAAACCCCCGCCCCGCCCCTGGAGACGGGCATATCAACGAACAAGCGCGCGCGCGTGCGCTTGAGGAGGGCCACGTGACAGAGCTCGCCCTTTTGCCTCGCGCTCAACGCTTTCATCGCCTGTTTCCGGACACTTCCCCCCCGACGTCGACCTTGCTTTAAGTCTTGGGAAAGGCAGCGAGTTGAATCCTCCGCACTTTAACTGAGAAGGGGCTGGACGTTGTGCCAAAGGAAACGTGACTGCAGCCTCAGTGTTGCCCATTTCATCCCATAAAAGTCAATATTGGCTAGGGTGGGTTTTCGAAGCAAGCAGCAACCGTGGTTTCCCAGGTATCCTTGCAAGTATAAGAAGGCAACGCAGAGCAGGAGAAGAAGAGCCTTCAGAAATGTGTACAGCAGCTGAGGGGAGTAGTGTTCCTACTGTGACATAGGAAGATGACAGGGGCTTCTGATAAATAAATGTCCCTATTTTCATTACTCAAACTTGGGAGGGTAGCTGCAGTTGCACAGAGCTAAACATATTAAGGTTTTACTGCCTTAAAAATGCAATGGGTTCAGAAGTCACGTGTCAGATTCTCATGCTTTGTTTTCATTAGTTGTCAGCAGAATGTAACAGGGAGCCGTTAATCAGAACGCTCTTCTAGTCTTACTGAGGCAGGACAACAGTCCAGCACATCCACTGCCACCCCTGCAGATGTACAGGAAAGGTAGAGCTGTGTGCCACCAGCATACTGCTGACAACACACTTCAAAATTCTGCATGACCCCACTCAGTGGCTTCATATAGATATTAAACATGGGGGATAGAATTGAACCCTGAGGGACTCCACAAGGGACCCCATGGTGCCAAATAGCACTCCCCAAGGATCACCCGTTGAAGACAACCAACCAAGCAGGATTGGAACCACAGCAAAGCAGTTCTACCCACCCACAACTCGGATAGGCTTTCCAGGAAGAAACCATGGTAGATGGTATCAAAAACCACTAATAGTATGAGAAACATTAACAGAGAGAGAGTACCTCTGTACTACTACTGACAGGTCATAATAAAATAATAATAATAATATTAATAGGTATTATTATTTATACCCTGCCCATCTGGCTGGGTTTCCCCAGTCACTCTGGGAAGCTCCGAACAGAATTAAAAGCATAGTAAAACAAACATTAAAAACCTCCCTAAACAGGGCTGCCTTCAGATGTCTTCTAAAAGTCAGATAGTTGTTAAATTCCTTGACATCTGATGGGAGGACGTTCCACAGACAGGGGCATAGGAAGGGGGGCAGTGGGGGCAGACCTCCCCGGGTGCCCTCACTGAGGGGGTGACATTTGGTGCACCACCCACCCACAACTCCCAAGCCTACCCCGAGCCATCGAGGTAAGGGCTTGCTCTGCCGCCAGCTGCAAGGTGTGCTGAGTGGCTATCCCGCACCTGGGAGGGCACCCTCAGTGCCACGCCGCCCTCAGGAGCGCGCCCTTCCTGGGCAGCGCGGGCATATGCTCCACTGCTGTCCACAGGGTGGGCAGCACTACCGAAAAGGCAACCAGGGCAGTTTCTGTGCCAAAAGCAGGCCCACATTAGTCTCCTCCACAAGTGTCTGGGGTGGAATCTAGACATATATAAAAAAATGCTGTGTAAATGCTTTTTTAAAAAAGCATTTTGAAAATTATATTGAATTTCCCATAAACTCACCATCGCCATCTAGTGTCACATTTGTATAATGCACTTAAAACACACTTAAAATGTTATATTTGCTGCTGTATAGCTGAGTCACTATCTGATCAGCAACCACCTGCTTAAGAATCTTGCTCAAGAAGGGGACATTAGCAACTGGCAGGTAGTTGCTTAGGTTCTCAGAATGTAGGCATGGTTTCTTAAATGTTTTTTTCCTTTTTTATTATTAAAGATTTTCTTGATTTACAGAAGTATGTGTAATGTCTCTCGTATTTTTTCCATGTAACATTTTTACAAATCAGTTTCATTTGTTGAGACATTAGGAAGAAAAGGAGGGGGGGAAGATGGGGGGGTTGGGTGGCAATATTTCTATTTTGCTTAATGTATGTAGGGTTTGGTGTCAGCATTGCTCATGCAGGTTCTCTGCTGTTCACTTGTGTTCCTTTGGTGGTGAGAGAGGTTGGGGTTGGCCTAGGATGTGGTTGTTTCTTTGTTTGTGATTGGCTGTGGTGATCTTTGTTTTTGTGTGTGAGTGGGGTGGGTGGGTGTTTTGGATCAGGTTAGCCGTATTGATTTGTATGCTGTTGGTGGATTATTGTCATTGTCTTGTTGGGCTGTGTATGTGATAAAGGGGAGCCATACCGGGCTAAAGGCGTCTTCTTCTGTTTGTCCCCGTGTCAGTTTCAGTTTGTTGGTTAATTTTTCTAGTAGGCTATTTCCCATATTATTTCGTACTATTGGTCCATGCTTACTCCCAACAGGTCTCTCCAGTGTCTGGTTGTGGTGTTTCTGGCTTCTGAAAGTAGGTGGGTTATGAGTTCTTTGTGGTGTAAATGGGCATTGTTGTCTTGGAAGATGTTTAGTAGGGCCAATTCTGGGGTGATGTCTAATACTTGCTTAGTTATTTTACATATTTCTCGTATGGCTGTTGTCCAGAATAGTTGGATTTTGGGGCACTCACACCACATGTGTAGGTATGTGTAGGTGTACCCTCTCCAGCATTTTGGTGTATTTGGTTGGCAATGTAATATGCTATGCTGGGGATAGTTTCTTAAATGTTTAGTGCTTTGGCATTTGATGTGTGTAATTTATTCCCATTATCTTTTAGTTTTCCTCAGGTAACTTTCCTTTCCTTTTGTGCCTGGGTCCATGTCTGTAATCCTGTTACCTCCAAAAGGCAGTTTATAAAGCTAGTAAAGCAGTCTGGTCTACAGTTCTGCAAGCACCTAGCGTAGAAGAGTAAGATTTATATTACTGAATACACTTTATTCAGGTTGGAGATTCAAGCCTGGAAGAAGTAATTCCTCTGCTAATCTGCTAATTCTGAAATTTGCAAGCTATCAAAATAGAGACTGGAATAATTCTATCGAGATTTGCTACTTTTTGACATGATCTTGTGAGTGAGATGAATCAAACAAAAATACTGAGGGAGAACTAGCTGTGGTTCACTATGGTTGTCTCAGGATGAAATGATGTGGATAACCTATTAAACTGAGTTATTCCCATGAATTCATACTGTTGCATGCCTCCCCAATCTTCCAGGGGTCCCAGTCACTTAGCCAGGGTTCTTGTTTCCTTCAGAATGTCGGACAGCAGAGACTGTGGTGTCTTTAGGATATATGGTTTACTTACACACACGTATATATAACCTGAGCCTACGACAGAAGGGTTCACAGCATTACCACCCCAGGAGGGTCATGCTTCTCTGAAAGAATCCACAGTCTTGGATTCCAACAGAAATTAGGTATAACCCTGTCTCTTAGCTGCCCAGCCTACAGCTAGCCGGCTTCTAGCTTTTCTACCACACATACACCTCAATCCTGGCCTTTGTTTCTCTAACTACCAGCGAGTTGAAGGGGGAGGCATTTGTCATCTGCTTAGATATTAACACTTGCTGGATCAAGGAATTAAAAGGGGGCTTAAGCATACAGCCTACCCCCCCAACTCGTAACAATACACTAACATGTAACAGTAAGTATATGAGGCAAAATGTTGATTTAGGAATCGGCTCAAAATTGTTGTATAAGCCTTTATACCCTTTACCAGCAAATATAGAAAGAAAATCTGTATTTGAAAACAGATTAAACAGGAAGTTTACATTTGATAAACAGGCTCAGACACGACTACTGTGAAGCATTTTGTTATGAAGACTGTGATACACAGGAATGATACTGCTACTTATTAACTCATAGATTTACAGAAGTGGATACAAGAGGCAGAAGATGAGCAAAGAGGTTAAGACATCTGAACATATTTGAATAGTGTTGCACTGAAGACAACAAACATACATATATATATTTGATATATAGATCATTCTGTTAAATACTTATAAGTAATCTGAAAGGTTACTATTGAGTTGGATCAAAGTGCTTAACAGTGCACTCCTATATGTGTCTACTCAGAAGGAAGTTTCACTGAATTCAATTGAGACATATTTCCATGCAAATGCAGGAAAGATTGCAATCTTAATCCCTCATAACATCTTTTGTTTCCTTAACCACTTTTGTTTTTTATTTCATTTTAATAATCACATTACGGATAATATTTTGGAAAATTTTGCATACATCTTATGCTATACTGATGTGCTTTTTATTTTTGTTTGAACAAAAGAATAGCAATGGCCAGCTTGCTAAATCAAATTAATGTACAGAAAATACATACTGAAGCAATATTAATAAACACCACCAGATGGCGCTTATGTACACACTGACTAAATCCTCACCAAATATGTTAACTTCTTTGTACAATGATCCTCCTAGTGGACACCCACACCATAAAACATGTATCTACCATGTATGCTTGGAGGTTCAATCTAGATCTGAAATATTTGGTTGGCTCTTGCTGTTTTTGTGCAAGTGTGATCTAGTTTGTGATCTTTGCAATTCCAACCCCTGACACACACACACACACACACACTTTCAAAAGTCGCATAAGAATTGCAATTTAAAACATCACAGGTTTCATGTTTGTAAAATAATTATTTATTCATATTTATAATCTGCCTTTCACCAAATGGTTACAGCAAGGGTTATAAAAATAGTACTACGTACATTACAATCATAAAATAAAATAAAAACAAACAAAATGTGCTTATCCCTACTCATATACTCAGTATAAGCAAATCATAATGTGGAATTCAGTATGGTTGCTTTGAGCAAAATAAATACTAGTCCCTTCCCCTTTTGGTGGGGGATGGTGTGTAATCCAAGGATATTTCTCAAGTTGGAATGGGAATCATTTATGTTCCTTTGTCCTCTATTCATGAGAACTGTTCGTGGT